ACATCCACCGTGATTACGGCAACAAGGATCGTCTCCCAAGTTCTCATACTTGTTTCAACCGTAAGTACACCAGCAATGTCCGGGACTGTCTATATGGCACAGCTTGCTAACTATGTGGCACAGAGCTGGATCTTCCAGAATATGAGAGCTACGAAACATTACGGCAACGTCTTTACACTGCGATGACGGCTGGCAGTGAATATTTCGGGTTTGCATAAGTTGGTGGCGCTAATATCCCTTATTGCGTAAATGATGATTTGGGGGTTAACCCACTTTCACTCGCAGTGTCCTTGACTCGATGCTGAAGCATATTATGGCGTTTGACACATCTTCATTTTCAGCTAGTTTGTACCTTACCAAAGGCATGGGGGTTGTGGTAGGAAATGGACCGCAACCGGCAGACCAGTTGAAGTGCAGGTCAACTGGAATGCTGGGGATCGGTTCGGGGATTTCCATGTTTTCTATGTTTTACTTTGCAAATTGCAGCAGCATGTACTTTCTTCAGCTATGTGTCAATTACTTAGAAAATTCCAGTCAATGTTCTCGTTCTTTCACCCACTCTCAACTCCTTATCCAGCCATCGATGCGCGGTTAGTCAGCCGGGTGCTTCTCCGTAGTCTGGAGGCGGTGAGGGGCGGTGGATCCGGGGAGTCACGGGATGCAACTTTTTTCTGCTGGGCGAAAAAGTCACCTGCCGGCGGGGCATCGGCTCGAATCTCAACTTCTTCAATCTGCTGCTCTCTCTCCGGTCGATGGGCGTTTCCTATCTCCAGGCATGCTAATTCCTGCTCTCTAACTTCTTCTTCACTTCTTCCTCAATCATTAGATCAATCTCCCCTCTGCACCTGTCCGGTCGCACGCGCCGCTCTCACCTGAACCCCTCCTCCGGTTTCTCTTCAATCTCCAAAAATGGCTTCGAACTCGATCAAGCTCTTGACTGGTAACAGTCACCCTGAGCTTGCAAACCTTGTGGCAGCTCGGTATGCGCTATAGTTCTGGACTATTTCTGCACCCTTGCAGTACACCATGGACTAACGAGCCGTTTCAATTGACAGGCTTGGCATTGAATTGACCAAGATCATGGTCCTCCAATATTCGAACCAGGAAACCAGTGTCACAATCGGAGAGAGTGTACGAGATGAGGATGGTATTGTTGTCCACTCCGCCTGCTCAGACTCAGGCCCGCAAAAGATCTCGGGTTAATGTGTGCATTCTGCAGTTTTCATCTTGCAGTCGACGCGGCCCAATGATATCAACGATGGACTAATGGAGCTGCTCATCATGATCAATGCTTGCAAGACCGCCTCCGCAAGACGTATCACCGCCGTCATTCCCAACTTCCCTTATGCGCGCCAAGATAAGAAGGATAAGAGCCGTGCTCCTATCACCGCTAAGCTTATGGCGAACATGCTCCAGACTGCTGGTTGCAACCACGTCATCACCATGGACCTCCACGCCAGCCAGATCCAGGGCTTCTTCAACGTCCCCGTCGATAACCTGTATGCCGAGCCTAGCATTCTGAAGTGGATCCGCGAACACCTTGATGTGAGCAACTGTATCATTGTCAGTCCTGATGCTGGTGGTGCTAAGCGGTAAGTGAATTTGATTTATTGGAAGCTCGATATATTGCAAGTCGATATTAATGAGCAAATTTGAACAGTGCCACTGCCATCGCCGATCGTCTCGACCTCCAGTTCGCTCTCATCCACAAGGAGCGCCCCCGCCCTAACGAGGTCTCGCGCATGGTTCTCGTTGGTAGCGTCAAGGACAAGATCGCTATTATCGTTGACGACATGGCTGATACCTGCGGTACTCTTGTCAAGGCCGCCGATACTGTGATGCAGCACGGAGCCAAGGAAGTCAACGCTATCGTCGTCCACGGTATCCTTTCCGGCAAGGCTACTCAGAACATCAACAACAGCTGCCTGAGCCGTGTTGTTGTGACCAACACTGTTCCTCACGAAGACAAGAAGGAGCAGTGCGATAAGATCGAGACGATCGACATCAGCCCCACTCTTGCAGAGGCCTGCAGACGTACGCACAACGGCGAGTCTGTGAGCTTCCTGTTCTCGCACGCTGTCGCCTAAACGACTAGTAAGGGCACATGGCAGTGATGGAGGACAAGATGGACATGCCGCTATCTGGAGGCGGTTCACATTTGCTTTTTCTTTTTTTATTATTGTCGTGCGTAGTCGGATACCTCTAGGAGGGCCTAGATCATGAAATTAGGACTCTTTAGCCACGGAATTCCCGGGATAGGCGCCTCCGTCTGTCAAACTATATTTAACGCATTTACCGGTTATGAAGCTTATGGACCTTTGAGAAGGTGGAAAGGAAGGGAGATATGAAAAAGTCGGCGGCGCCTTTTTGCTTTCTATTACCAGCTGAATTGAAGCACTTATATTGTACATATATCAACGGTTTTCTTTTTTTTTCTCCCCCCTTGGTCGTCTTCATTCTGATGATGTACTATTCTTCTTTACTGTGAGCTGATCACATGTGGATTTTACTGATACAATAGATGCCATCTGAATTTAAATCTGTCCTGAAGATGTAATGTATACATTCTAAATATAGATATAGTCAGATTGGAAATACTGAATTTTAAAAAAAACACTACACGGACTTATCGGTATAGAAACTACGAAATAAACATTCCCAGTCGTCAAATTAACCTCGGAGATATCAGCTAGTTGAGTAAAATGCACACGGGCTAGCCCTAAATCGATCTTACTGCAAGTCGTACATTCAGTTCCGAGGTTTATATTTCCGGCTCTAATTAGTACTACTAAGTAGTAGTCGGACTTGTCAGCATGCTATCCATCCATCATCCATCCATCCCTTACTGATCAGCTGCACTAATAAGTATGCTTGCTTTTTTGCACTCCATTATTGACTTTATGCCATAAGTACCCATGGTGGTACTTTTTTTTTAGGTTTCCTAGGAATACTAGTATTTTACCAGTAGTAGCTCACAATGGGAAAGTTTCCTGACGGAGAGTACGGGGCGGAGAGAGTTTCCCGGAGTAATTAATAGATAATACGGTGGGCGAGGCGGGGGTTTGGCTTCTTTTCGTCCGTAACTGTTTTTCTTTTTCTGTTTTCTGGGTGGTTGTGGTTCTTTTGACGGAGGGTAATTGCTGTTAGTATTAGTGCAGTTTACTGCTAGTGCTATATGAGAATACTATGGAGCTAAAATAGGGTGCTTTTCATTGAGGACTATGCTACTACTAAAGTAGTACTAAAGGAGGCAAAAGACAGGAGTTTATATTTATAATAGTATGTATGATACCCATCACAAGCGTGACATGTATAGTAGTAATAGTAAGTAATAGACGAGTAGAAGATATGCACCAAGCGAGTGTCTATTTAAGACTGATGGGAGAAAGAAGAATAACAGCTTTATTTTCCTCACCGTTCCGTTCCGCCTTGAGGCATTTGGATCCATCATACGCTTGTCGAATATATACTTACTTCTTAATCTTCGTATACTGAGTTTGGGTGTAGGTTTAATTGTGGGATTAAACAAAGTCAGTACTAGGTAGGTTTGTAGGTGGATAAGGAGTAACTCTTTATTGATTTCTAGGCTATTGATGTGTATTTATTTAATTGTGAAACAATGCGTTTGGTGGCTGATTTGATTGTTTGATTTTGTAAAGTCAGTACGAGTGGTCAACGGTACTATGGATAAATACCGCGCAGGCAGTAAATCTATATTGAAGGGTAGTACTTACCGTCTTGCTGTATTAAATACATTTGGTAGGTAGGTGATTGTTATGAGGTGGGGGTAGTAATACTATTTCATTTCATGTTGTATTATCTTGTCATACTACAGTGGTAGTATATACCTGATACTAATAGGTGGCTAGGTAAGTAATGCCAGTCTTCATGTTCTCAACTTTGTAACACCAATAACACTAGCATACCTTCCTGCTACTATGTAGTAAATACCTCCCTAAAGATAGTACTAGATGGGTGTTACTACTACGAGCGGGGGCTGACTTCACCTGCCTAGTAATGGCTCTAATATCTATATTAGTACTTAGCCCTGGGTGCCCGTGCCTGAAGTATACATTTTGCACAGTTGGGTGGCGGAGGTTTGATTCACCGGTCTATGTAGAATTATAGGTCCATGACAATTGATGAGAAATAATGAACGCACTAGCTATATACATCAAGACATAAAGTGGGATTGTGTATGCTGGATGTGCAGTTAGAAAAACAGTGTCTGTGTCTACTCCGCACTTGACTAACGATCGCTAGTGGGATCTTGGGTTAAGAATAATTGTGGGTACACAAAAGAAGTACTGACCACACAATAATCAATCAATCCACTGGCTGGGCTACAATGGGACAAAATTTAGGTTTTACCACAGTAGGGTCCAAGTAATAAGTAATCATCCAGATCACACTACGCAGGGGAATAAATCAAAAAGAAAAGGAAAAAAAAAAACACCAACTGAAATTTTGGAATACAAAGAAGTTTCATTTCATTCACAAGCAGCGCACATAAAAGAGTAAATCATCTGCGGAGAACCGGAGTCCATGGGTATGTCTTTTTTTTGATACTCGTGCCAGGGAAGAGGGAGGGATAATGGTCGCAAGGCCATCTAGAATAAAAAGTGTGTAAAGAAAAAAACGAAGAAATTCTTTCACATTTTTTAATCCCTTTCATTTCCATAAAAACTGTGGAGAGATATAGCATTTCCTTTTTTGGTTTTGATGTGTTGGTTGGATCAGACAATATCGGCACGCCAGAGTCTCTCGGTCCGCTGCAGACGACTTCTCTCCTCTGTCTCAATATCTCTCCCTCCCCAAACCAAGGAGCTTTTTGTTCTTGGGTCGCTCTGCTTCGGAACTCGAAGATAGGAAAAGAGAAAATGGGTGGATATAAAAAAAATCCCCCTTCCCATTTGCTTGAGATTCTTTCTATAATACCCTTTTTCCCTTAGCTAGAACAGAGACGTAACCCGACCATTAACCCCCGCGGACAAACACATTTACTTCCTCATCGAAGACGCTCTCCGCTTGCGGAGCTCATCGCGCTTGGCCTTCTCCTCGTGGACACGGCTGGCAAGGAGCTTGGCGTAGTCGTTACTGTATCGCATGCATCGTTAGCGGATGTTCATTTCATTCATTCAGGTGCATGTCCCATCTAAGGGGGAAGGGTGCACTTACGCAGCCTCGCGGGCAGCCTCAGCACGACGGCGCTTGAGGGCAATGCGCTGGCGCTTACGCTGGAGACGCTGGGGAGTAACCAGACGCTGGATCTTGGGGGCCTTGGTGTAGTCGGGCTTGCCCTCACGGGTGACGGTACGACGGATGACGAACTTGCGGACGTCGTCCTTCTTGTCGAGACCGAAGAAGCGGCGGATCTTGGTGGCACGCTTGGGGCCGAGGCGCTTGGGGACAACGGTGTCGGTGAGACCGGGGAGCTCACCCTCACCCTGCTTGACGATGCTCAGGGCAAGAACAGCGAGGTCCTGACCGGTGATGGCTGTAGAAACGAAGCGTCAACGGATCAATTCGGAGGGTAATAACGGATGTATTGTTGTTGGGTAAAACCTACCACCACGGACGGACTTGCGCTTGCGCTCACCAGTGCGGCGGGGGCGGTAGCAGCTGCAACGGACATCAGTCTTCCATTTCGTAAACTCCAATATCGGCAGGTCGCATTTACCTGTGGCCATCGGCAAGGAGGAGGCGGGTACGGGTGGGGAGGAGAACTGCACACAAATCGATGAGTTTCTGCTGTGTTTTTGTCGGATTATATTTGCGTCGGTCGGTACATACCACCCTGCTTCATGGGGAAACCTGTGAAGAGCGTTAAAGTCAGCATCCAATGTTCATTCTTAACCATGATATCCAAAGATTCCTGTTCGTATTCGAGTCCTCCTAGTCGAGCCCAAATCCGAAATAACAGGGGAAAAGCAATCCAGTCGTACCTTGCTTGTCGTTACCACCGGTGATCTTGAGGATGTAACCCTTGAACTCGTCACCGAGAGAGTCGCCGGCAACCTATAGCAATAAAAGAAACCCCAATCAGTCTTCTGCTTTTCCCATAATTTTGCGTGTTTCCCATTTTTCGTCTCTTTTCCAACTGTGGTGTTTTCGGGGGCGGATATCCAAGGGGGGAGGGTTGCTGACTTCGGTTCCCATGCGCTTCTCCATGAAGGGACGGAGCTTGCGCTCATCGTCAACCTCGATGATCTTCTGAGACCCATTGGCCGGGTAGGAGATGTTGAGCTTCATCTTGACGGGTCTGCGCGGTCAAGACGGAGGGCGCGGTTTGTCGACAGGTCGAGGAGGTTCAGGTCGTCGGGGATTCGTTCTTCGTGGGATTTTTTTGGTGGTGTAGCGAGATTTCCCTGTGTGGGCGGCTGACTAAGTCCACTAACCCTTCTGGACTTAGCGCCCTCGGTAGGGCTCTTATGTCAGCACTCCCGGCACCTGACTTGCCCCCTTGCCCTTTCGGGAACTACGAGGCTAGGCCTGTATATGCTTGAGGATACCATCAGGTTATTGTGATGAAAACAGGGTCTAAGGTTTTGGTTACGCGCTGATGCTCGTATTCCATGATGCACCTACTTGATCCAAAAGACAGGTGAAGGTTCTGTTCTTAAAGCGGCAGCGTGTATTAGGTCACCTGACCTTCGTGTGATCCCTGCGACCCCGTGTATACAGTAGGCAAAATTGGGGTCAAATATCTCCAACAGATCGGAGTCTTCCATATCCATGTCTGATAACCATACCTGTCTCTGGTCGCGACCTTATGCATCCAACAGTCAGCAGCTAGAACAGTCTATTGACTCTATCCAGTAACCAAACCCCTAAACTAGCTTTGAGTAGAGTGCCTCCTAAGCTTCAACAAGGCGAATTCGGGGAGCCACCGTGTTGCGTCTTAGGTGCCACATTTCTCGTCATATAGGTCTTTCTCCGAGCTGACCTTTATTTCTTGCGTACTCCGGACTCTGCCCTGCAGCCTATAATGCAACACATGTAGACTGATGTGTGCGCTTCGAGCTAGGCACTGAGAGGGTGCACATGCTATCATTATGCAGGACATTTTTGAGAATAAGAACTCTTCATCATAATGAGCTTATTGTCCCAAGTGAGTAGTTGATGCCATCCAGGGGTTAGTTATAGTCAACCCCTGAGCGTCTCGGCGATAGGAATTAGTAGATCTAGTCAGTCAATCAGGTGCCGAACTGGTCCGGGTCGGAATCACAACGACCAGCAAAGCTTGGAAGGAGCTTCTTCGAAGTGCATCTTTATAAGTCGCAACCAGAAGTTCGAGAAGCACCAGATATATAGGAAGGAAGGTATAATTATGAAGGGCGCTTTCGCTGACTCGGATTTAGTTGCACATTGCGTTCTTCCGTTCCCGACAGCCAAAGACGGGAGACCAATCCGGATCGAGTTGGGCCGTTCGGAAGGTCGGAGTCTAAAGTGGCAGGCTGTCTTGGAGAGGCGGCCCCCCCGTTATCTATTAACTAATGGTTGATTATTGATTGATTACTACCTACCACCAACACTGCGCCTTCGGTAGTAGATACTAGATAGATAGATAGTGGCCGAGGAGGGGTGTTGTTCATGACATCCCAGTAAGGGGGTTCAGGGAACATGACCGCCTTTTCCGACAGACGTTCGTTGCTGATTCGATGACATTTCTATTGCTGGAACAGAGAAATGTCCACGAGGGCAGGCCAGTGAGATCCACTGATGGGGACTTGGCCTTGTACAAAACCGCCTCTTCCAAGCTCAATGGAGTCTTGGGACTGACGCAAAAGACCCAGAGCACGCGACTGGTTACCGTTCCGACGTCGCCGCGCGGCCACTGCCAACGTCCGAGAGGCCAGGACAAGAACAGCCTTACGGCAGATGCAAAGATGGCCACAAGCGCGCTATCGTAGTGGACAGGTCAGGGAACATTTTCTGTTTCCTCACTCAACTCTCGCACTGTTCGGTATTGTCTCCTTTTTCTTGTTACTGCATCCGTTCCCCTCAGGTTCTCGTTTTCATCCGACTGACAGAGTTCTCCAGTCAAGTCCCCACTCTGGCGCCAACCATCCCCATCGCACGCTATTAGTCTCTCCTCTTTGCACGGTACTGCCGGAGGTCATCCTGTCTTGTGCTTCTGTTAGGGGAAGAAGTTCTTGCTTGATCTCGCCGCAGATCACTACGTACGGCGTATCCGTCTTATCTCATTTCCCCCCCCCCCTTTCCGTCGTTCGGTTTCTTCTCGTTTTCCTTTGGTCAAACGTATACTCTCAGCATCGTTGTGTGCAACCGCGCAACAAAGAGTGCCGCCGATCGCCCCCAGCGTTTATCGGCTTCGCCTGCGAAGCCCAGCGGCTTTCGCTGTCTCGCCTCCGCCCTTCGTATCCGTCCTTTATGCCCGGACCCAATGCGCCTCTTTAGCAAATTTCACGCGGTCTGCGCCTTGGCTGTGTGCAGCATTCTCCTGTCAGCCTCCTTTCTCGCCTCTCAGCATTACTATCGTCGGGTAGTCTTGACAAAAGAGCCCTCGTCGGATTTCCGCGCCACGGCATCTTTCGACCGTCGCCTAGTCGTCTTTGGTGACTCGTGGAGCGATAACAATGCAGCCGAGCTTCAGGGATCTGTATGGACGGACTGGCTTTGTAACTCGGTGAGTGTGAAAGCTACTTGGCTGGATCAAAGTGGTAAGCTAATCTCACGGCTTAGTTCTCATGTCACCATGAAAACTTAGCGGAGACGGCCAAGTCTCTGAAAGGAAATTACATTGGCTCTGTGGTGGATAACACGGAGCTGTCGGGTTCCTTACTCAACCTCTACAAGTCTCCATTGGCGGATCTGAAAGCTCAGGTCGCCAATTGGATTGCGGCGGAGACGGAAGCCACGAGAGAGATGGATGCGACTGCGGTTGGCATGCGTCAGAATCGCACCATCGTGGTTGTCTCCTTTGGTGTATGGGACTTGTGGAACGTAATGGCAAAAACGTACGAGGACGCATCCCATGCAGTCGATCGCAATATCAAAGTCATTATGGAGGAGCTGGATTTGCTGGCCGAGACATGGGGCAGCAATGACCTCAAGATCATCCTGACATTAGCACCAGATGTAACCTTCCTGCCGGCCTATAGAGCGCAGGGTCAGCCGCAGATTACCAAGCACAAAGATGCCGTGAGGATCGCAGACTATTGGAACGGAGAACTCCGCAATAACGCCGAAGATTGGTCGAACGGCACGATTTATTTGTTCGACACCAACTCTTTTCTGGCCGACCAGATTCGCGACTGGCAACTCTTTGCCGCAGGGATCGAGGAAGAGAGTGGATTGGGGAAGAACGAGGATCCCGGTTGGGAGAATGTTGAAGACGCATGCGTCCAAAGCAGCCAGCAATGGATGGTGACGTCAGGCGCGCAACAGTGCGACCGTCCGGAGAAATTTCTGTTCTGGTAAGGACAAGGAATTATGATTGGCGCCCATTGACTTGATCGAGTGCTGACCGTATCATTTTCAGGAACGACATGCACCTTGGCCCCTCAGCGCATAGACTTCTGGGCGCGGAAGTGTTCCATGGAATCGAAGAGATGTGGCTCCGATGATTTTCCCTTAAACACCAAAATAAGAGAGCAGAGAAAAGAAAAAAAAAATTCTAAAAGCGCAACCGATGAGGTCTTACTATTATTTTCCATTACCTCTTGAGACGTAATTCGCCAAGGACAGGCTGGGGGGAAACTTGTTCTGTAGATGATTAGACATCAGCCGCTTCCCGGGACCATCAAACGCTGATGAACGGCACTATCAAATGGCGGCCTGCTTCTCTTATCTCCATTGCGCCTGCTATTCGATTATTCGACTGGTCTCTAGGCGATGTGCCAATAGGTCTGAGACCATGTCTTTCTCCCCGCTCAGAGACTGGATGAGTGAGAGGAAAGAGTTTGTGCTGGGGGAGCACAGCTGTTTCGAATCACGAGAGGTTTCAGGTCGCTACCAAACAAGGACCGAACGGGGGACTGGCCAGAGTGGTATGTCTCATTGAGAATGAGCACGGAAGTCAGGCTGCCTCATCCGGAAACGGACGATTGTAACGTGATGGCGGTGGATAGTGGAGCAGGGATCGGAATGCGATCGCCACAGGGTAGATCGATCCGGTCTCCAGCCTGGAAATGGGGACACCTGCAACATCAACGTGTCAATGGAGACCCGTGAACCTTTCTGATGGATCGGGGGAACTACGGATCAGACTTTGGGGAGGTAAAGAATAATGGAACCTGACCGGACCCTGTGGAAAATCCCCCTTTGAAGGATGGTTGGGGAAAACAGCAGGGGTAACGGATGGCGCGGACGGTGCTGGTGGATGGAGATTTGGTGGTGTCGGTGGTAAGTAAGAGCACGGAGTAGTGAGAAGTAGTAATCATCCAGTGTCAGTTTGCCAAATCGGGCTGTCCGTTCTTTTCCCTGTTTTGCTTTCGGTGCTTTTTTATTTTTTATTTGCTTCTTCTCTTTCTCTCTTTTTTGACTCCTCTTTCCTTTCATTCGGTGCTGGCTGTTAGTTTCTTTGTCTCCGAAGAGGATCGGCCTGCTGTCATGGAAGCCTCGGGAAGTTCTGTCATTAGCCAGGAGCTGTCCTGGATAAAAAGTACCTTCGCTCTAGATGGGGGAGAAAGGTGGAGGTGGAGATGGCGGAATTCTGATACCGCCACCTGGAATGTAAGTATTACACCATAGTAGCCATGGCCACGATCGCTGTTTTCCCTTTTAATTTATGGTCCAAGCAAGTAGGGAGGAATGGGGAACGACGGAGTTCAGTACCCAGTGTAGATTAGTGGGTATCAAACTTCCAGGAACTACTACCTTAGAGAGCCAAGCAAGCAAATCAAGCACGTTCAGTTAGTTCAAATAGGTAGGTAGGTAGGTAGTAGTAAGTAGTAACCAAACGATACTTGCGAGGGAGCAAGCAAATAGCAAGCAGCCAGCAGCAAACAACAAGTACCTTCAAAGTACCACCTAGGCAGCCGAGTAGGGTACTACTACTGTAGAAGGCTAGTGGTGTGCGTGCCAGACCGTGGTAAAGCAAAGCAAGCAGGATGATGCTGGCGAGAAATTAGACGGATTGGAAGACAATCAAATCCATTTGCGCATGTGTCACATTGGCGGTGGGCCAATTGCCAGGCCCGGTCGGGCTCTGTGGATCGCTAATTGGTCCCAGATCACTGCAGCACACCGCATGCGGACGCCGAACAGACAAAGGAAAGCTAAAATGGCTCCAGGATTGAAACAATAAACCTGTATAGCAATCTCTAAGCAACTAGTCGATTAGTGTGGTAGACTTTCTTGACTAAGTAGGGAGAGTATTGAGAGGGGGGAAAGGGCAGAAAGTAAAAAAGGTAAAACAACTAGGTACTTAGGTCCCCAGGTTTAACTAGTAGCTTTCCGGGTAGCTATGACTTAGTAAAATGTGTATTATTATCGAACTGCCCAAACATATTAAATGATGCCCCAAAACAAAAAGGCAATCAATCATCCAGAATGAGCTCTGGAAGGGCCCATTTCTTGTCCCTACTGCTGACTCACCTGGTAATAAAATAGAGAAGAAGAGGTTCACATTCAGGTTGTTGCTTTTCTGCTGCTACCTCCCCAAGTGCCCACTTTGTCTCTCTCGCCCTCTGGCTCTCTCTTGCTCTTCCAGTCCTTGGGTACCTTTGGTTGGGGGGTCATCCAGGGACAAGTAAGTACTAAGTAGTAGAGTCAAGTCAAGGTACCTCTCTTCCTCCGCCCCAGTACAACACCGCACCACCCGATGAAAGGTACCATGATGATACGTCCTTCCCAACCCGGGAGGTTTCCTCACTTTGAGGTTCCATCACATCTCTCCGAACAGCTGTCTCTGGTGGGGATAATGTCCCCTCCCAACCGAACGAAGGACTCGGGTCATCCTGACAGGGACAAAGAAACCAAAAAGCCCGGGATTTTTAGTCGTAGTCAAAGGGAGGGGCGCCAGACCGAAGGGCCCCAAAGATAGCTCCCCATAACAAAGCACTTGAAAAGCCAAATCCTGGCTTTATCTCACTGGCGTCCCCTCGGCTTGGTTGGCTCGGCCTGAATGGAAATATCATTTCATTGTCAAAGAACGAGGAGGCAGCAAAAGGAAGGCAGAAAAAGAAAAGAAAATCACCAGCAGTGAGGACACCCCTGACGCCTCCAAATAATAATCCAGCTGAATATTATTATCAGCATTCTTATTATTATTATTATTATTATTATCATCATCATCTTTTCTTCCTAATTATTATCATTCGACCCTGAACTGAAAAAAAAAAATAAAATATTTCACACCAAAGACACCAACAGAGACGGCCACTCGATTGGAAAAAGAAAGAAAAGAAAAGAAAGTATTAACAACAGCCAGTTTGGAAATACCCGGTGCAGCACGAGGAGAAACTCATTCGTCTCGTTGACTATAACTATAACCTTATATTGGGGCTTTCTTTCTTTCATCCACTTGTGCAGCGTCCGCCCATTCAAGGGCCACGGCTCTCTCTATAACCTCGATTTCTCACCCACCATCTCGCAGACTTTCATTATTCATTGCCCGCCATTTTCCTTTCAGTCTGCTGGTTCATCCACTTCTCTGTCCCCCCAAAAAGCCCTTTGCTCTTTACTCCATAAAATAAATGTCATGTCTTACGATCGCGTTCTGCCCAAGCCTCCTCTTCTACACCATGACAGCTCTCACCATCTTCCCCTGTCACGGCCTACTAGTAACCTCCTCGAGCATAAGATCATGAATGACGACGTCGCGAAAGTGTCCATGATGGACCGTCATCTAGACACTGCTGCTTTGAGTGGTCATCGTCGATTCACTGACACACTGCCCCCGGTGCATCTGACCACTCTGAATCGAAGCAAGGTAGCTCTCAACAAAGTCGCCTCCAACGCTGCCTCTGCTATTGAGGTCCCGAAGTCCGCGAATCTTCTACCTACCAAGGCTATACCTCTCCGTGAACGCTCGTCTTTGTCGGAACGGTCGTCGTCATCTAGTCCAATCAAGACGTCGAATACTCCCACCCCAAGGGAGTCGGCAACACAGTTCTGCCTCTGTCAGCCGGATCCGAAGATCCCTAGGCCCCGGAATGGTATGCAATCTGAAATCTACTCGATTTGCTTCTTGAGCTGACAAACAGGTAAAAGCATTCATCCTATACCGCCAACATTACCAGGCTGCAGTGGTCGCGCAGAATCCAGGCCTTGCCAATCCTGAAATCTCCAAAATTATTGGGGAGCAATGGAGAGGACTACCACAAGAGACAAAGGATGAGTGGAAAGCGCTGGCAGAGGTAAGCAAATTATTGCTATGAGACTCTCAAGCCACCTAACCCTTGACAGGAGGAGAAAGCTCGGCATCAACAACAATACCCAGAGTATCGCTATCAACCTCGTCGCTACGGTCGGGATGGGAATCTCCGCAGCGGAGCATCTGGCATCAGCCATAACCCTCCAGGCTCTACAGTCTGCAGCCGATGTGGAGGCCGTGTGATGAACCCTCCAGTATCACCAGAGACTCCTTATACACCCAGGGCCTCCTTTTTCGGCGGAAAGTCGGCACCTGGTGAAGTCTTCTCAGCACGCAGTAGCCAGTGTCGAGCCAAAGATCTGGACCGTGCTCCTAATGTCATCAAGCTCATCCCTAATGGGAATGGGGAATCACGCATGCCTCGCCAGCACTTTGTGGAAAGCAGAAGCCGATCACCAGATAGTAAGCGCAGGCGGTTGGGACCGCTTGGTCCTTATGACATCCGTGAAAGAAGCCCGGATTCTTCATATCCTGCATCTCCATACACACCTCGCTCGGCCGTAGCAGACTCACGAGGTCTATACCAGCCGCTACAGCAGCCACGGCCCGGCCGAAATGTCAAGGAGTATACCCCGCCGGATCCCAGCCTGAAACTTCCACCGCTACAAACAGCTGCTCATGTTCCCGGGACTCTCACCCCGACGACTCCATATTCGCATGATGGGCCTAGCATTGAAGCGACGGTCATGACAATTTCATTTCTCAACAAGATAAAGGTTCTGGCTAAGATCTCACCGCCCTTAACACCAGCATACCATGACGGATCTTCGTTCCGACGCGGGGCTGTGATTGCTGTGGATGGACAAGATCTTGTTCTTGTCAAGATGATGGTCGAATTTTTGAACAACACATTACAGAAGGAGGGCAGATATCTCACCCGAGTCTTCGGAGGACCCGAGATTCGGTCTCGTGAGAGCTATTCCGAATCCGAGCAAATGGGTGACGCAACTGTCGATTATCTCAACATCATCTCCTCCTGGCACCGCATCTCTGACGAAATAGTTAGCTTCGTGAAGCCTTCACGAGCATCATCGGAGCCAAAGTCAGTCGACGAAGAGTCTACGCCAGGAGTGTCGCCGCGGACTATTATACCCAAGACTGCTGAATTACAGATCAACTCTCCGGAGCAATCCAGCGACAACAGCTCTGTGTCGACAGTCTCTACCGGAATGGGCTCCATTACGATGCCCGTGCCTGTCGCACTTGTTCCACGATACCAACTAACGACTGCGGATGCTTTTGCCTGCTCCGTCCCAATCGGGGACTCGTATGCACCACTTGACCACTGGCAGTGGATGGCATCTCTGTGGCGTGCGTGCGTAGGACCGGACATAACCGTGTACATCCGAGAATGCGAGAAGGGCGAACTAGAGCGTCTTGGAGGTAACCCCGTGGAAGTTCGTCTTCATGATGCGCGAACCATTGTGGTGCGAAGACTGGCATCCTCATCGAGTGAACTAGAGGAGAAGTCGCTTAAGAGAGTCGGCTTCGAAATTGAGGACTTCCTCACCCAATGAGCTTGTAATATGATCCTACCCAAAATATGCCAGCTTTGTCAGGCTCGCATGTTCTTTTTTTCTTGTCTTTTCTTGACATTCTTCTCCGGACATATGGGGGTTTACACTTTCATAAATTGCCTTCCTTTTTTTATTACTCTTCGATTTCATTTTTTTCTAGGCTCTAGCCTATTTTGCGGGGGTTCTGTCTGGTTCGGGGTTTTGTGGCTAGTGAAAATGGGTGGCTTTGGCTTTTCTTGTAGATTTACTTATCAGCTCCGGATAATATATGTCTGTGATCGACGATGATGTTTTTACTACCGACGTTATGCACAAAAGCGCAGACATCATTGCTTCTATCTCAACACTTGACAAGACTTACTATATTTGAATACACATACAAAGTAGTGAGAGAAACGACCCACCGACGCAGCAGGCCATCAATAACACTCCACAATGCTCCAAGACAATCCACATCGCTGCCTAAGGCCCAAAGAAAGCTCCTAATATAACCTAAATCGGTAAAGGGCAGGGCGGTGACCGGTCCAGACCAATCACAGGCGCACTATGGCGGTGATTGCCGGCTTATCGGGATACCCTGGAATGCGCGGTGCGATGAATGAGCCCACTGTAGCGCATATCCTTCACTGGACATGTCTTGTGAAGGGCGAGCAGGTCGGTTTTATGCGCTGCGCTAGTTCTTTCCAATGTTTGAATCTGAACTCCGTGGAAATCCTCACCACGACCGAGTCTGATCGAATGCATGGGCTGCCCGCTAAAGGTTATCGCCTCTTCATGCAGCCTCCGTGACGGCAAAGGGGCACAACGACAGATCTTATACGAACGATATGTTGGCGACTGATTACGATATGATACATGATTATACTGCGGTTTCCGGTAATAATGCTCCTGGAGTTAAGCAGGTATGTTGCATGGCCTTGTGTGAGAATAGCATTTGATTTACATTGCGCTGGATGTCTGCTTCGCGAAAATGCCCGTTTCTGTTAACAGGCTTAATGCTCATTTATTGCTTCAATCTCTGCAGATACAAACTCCAGAGTTGAGCTGTGCCATGGCTGCGAAAGATGATGATGCTCTTAACTCGACCGGGCCCGATTCTTCCGCGGAAACTACCGTAACTACGGTTTCTACACCCACGCCTGCAACGCCTCAATCGGAACACTTTATGTTGCCGAAGCCTGTCGCAGGGAATGCTCAGTCTGGGAAAAGCGAGGCTTCTCGAAATCTGGATAACTATATTGGCGTTGGTGTTTTGAGAAGGCGCAATGGAAGGTACGATAACGGATTCACAGCGCCTGTCGAACCGGATAACTTTCCGGCATCGGAAATCGCGGCTTTGGAAAGACACCACTGGATATGGACTGAGACGATAGAATTCGCGGAGAAATCGTCGTGGTGTGGTGTTCGCGTTTATGTGCTGCCTGACGACGTCGGGCGCAAGTCCATACCACGTTCGAGCACAGCATTGAGGCGCGCACTCAAGGCAGTCATGATGAGGATTGACAGATCAGACGAAGCGTGGAACGGAAGTGTCCGTGTAGATCAGAAGGCTGCCGATAACCCTGTGGGTAGTCTGGAGGATGAGTCTCTTTGGTATATCTTCAATACGCTACAGGATCCAAAACCCCAGTTGGATAGTATGAGGAATGCGTATGCGAGAAGAGCGATGCGAGAGCTACTTACGGTAACTGCGCATGGAGAGGAGGAATCAGGCCAGGATTACTCTGGGGTGCTGGGTCTCAAGACGCCTCTGTACCCTTACCAGCGCCGATCGGCTGCTACTATGGTCCAGCGGGAAGCGCAGCCTGCGCAGGTGCTGGATCCGCGGCTGCAGGCATTTAAGAGTCCTAGGGGCGAGGACTACTACTACGACAAGGAAGAGGGGAGTATATTTCGGGAGAAGAAGATGTATTCGGAGGCTTGTGGAGGTATGCTGTCTGTGATTTTGCGTGAACGGCTGTCTGACTGGATATAGGTATCCTTGCGGAAACCATGGGCTGCGGCAAGACACTCATTTGCTTGGCTGTAATCCTGGCAACGCGAGGCCATTTCCCCGATATACCGCTCGAATACCAGGAGATGAAGAACCCCATCCGACAAGTGACGGGGAGTCTTGTTGAGATGGCAGCCGCGACAGCAGGCCGCTTCTCGCTGCCGTGGAAAACCCACTTCGACACTCTGGGCTACTACGGCACGTTCTATGAGCGATGTGTTATGGAGTGTGAGAGGCACCGTGGCGCCTATACTATACCTCCACCACCGGCAAGGCACAGAGGTCGAAGTGGAGTGGCGTATCCTAGACCGCCGCCTCAGAAAATCCGTCTTTGTTCGGGGACGTTGATCATCGTGCCCCCTAATCTGGTCAACCACTGGCACAATGAAATTTCGGCACACACCGATGGCTTGAAGGTGCTTGTACAAAGGAACAGCTCTGACAAGACTCCTTCACCAGATGAGCTATTGCAGTACGACATCGTTCTATTTTCGCGAATCCGCTTCGAAAAGGAGGCGGGCGAGGTGGTCAATAACAGACGTATTTCTTTTACGCCCGAGGAGTCCCCTTTGACAAAACTTCACTGGCTTCGGATCATCGTCGATGAAGGCCACAATGTGGCTGGTAGTGGTAACCGGACCACTATGATGCATATCCTGAGTCAGCTTCACATTGAGCGTCGGTGGATAGTGTCTGGAACCCCATCCAGCGGGCTGTATGGGGTAGAAGTCAGTTTGGCTTCTCAGGAGACACATACTAGCGAGACTGATCTAACTGAGGCTACTACGACTGTACTTCGAGGTAGAAAGAAGACAGGGAACGCTTTGGACAGTGAGCTCAAGGATCTCGACAAGCTACGATACATCGTGATTGACTTCCTCGACCTGAAGCCGTGGTCGAACCCTCGAACAAGCGACCCGGCCAATTGGACAAAGTACATTAAGCCCATCGGCGAAGATGGTAGGCGACGGAAAGCACAGTCTCTCCGGGCTACCCTGCAGAGCCTTGTTGTGCGACACCGTCTGGAGGTCATCCACAGTGAGATTCCTCTACCAAGACTGCATAACAAGGTCGTTCATCTGGAGCCTACCTTCTACGATAAATTGAACTTGAACATGTTTATCTTCGGCCTGGCCGTCAATGCCGTCACTTCGGAGCGCACCGACCAAGATTACATGTTCCATGCTCGGAACCGCAAGCACCTTAGCACTGTAATCAACAACCTTCGTCAAGCAGGGTTTTGGTGGGCTGGCTCGGACGATATTGCTCCCACGATCGACGTCGCCCTGAAGTATCTGGAATTACGGGGGGACAAGACAAGCAAAGAGGACATAGAGACATTACGCGAAGGCGTTCGAATTGCACAAAAGGCTCAAGCATCTGGATGCTGGCGTGCTTTCAAGAGGATGCATGAGCTCGGTGTTTTCATCCAGGACTTTCCCGAGCACGCTCGAAGTATGTGGGCCATTGACTCTTCGGTCGCACACCAAGAGCCACTTCTGCTGGGCATAACTCAGGCGCGCCAGGCACAGAAATTTGTCACAAAGCACCTGAACACGTACGACCCAGCAGAGGGGCTTGCCGGTGCAGGGATCAAGGTCCGTCGCGAGCTCTCAGGGCGAGAAGGGGACAATCTAAGTCCGAAGAAGACCACTCCAGACAAACCAGTCAAGAGCAACTCACCCAAAAAGACATACACCAAGGGGCTATTCAAGACCCTATCGGATGAATCCCCTCTCACGCAAACCAAACTGGTCGCTACAGCCTCAGCAAAGCTAACATACCTCCTGGACCAAGTGTCCGAGCTGCACAAAACCGAGAAAATCATCATCTTCTACGACAACAACAACGCGGCCTTCTGGATAGCCGAAGGCCTCGAACTCCTCGGTATAGACTTCCGCATCTACGCCAGTACCCTGAAACCCACCATGAGAGCAGAATATCTCGCCCTATTTCGCGAGTCGGAAGAGGTGCGCGTCCTCCTAATGGACCTGCGCCAGGCATCGCACGGCCTGCACATCGCCAACGCCTCCCGAGTCTTCATAGTCAATCCCATCTGGCAACCGAACGTCGAAAGCCAGGCCATCAAACGAGCCCATCGAATCGGCCAAACCCGCCCCGTGTTCGTCGAGACCCTCGTCCTCAAAGACACTCTCGAAGACAAGATGTTGAAGCGCAGAAAAGCAATGACAGACAGCGAGATCCACCACGCCGAACGAGACCTCCTAGACGACAGCACCATGAGCTCCATCATCCAGAACGAGCGTTACATCCCGATGCCCGAAACCGAAGACTCCAGCTTCACCCGAGGCGCGTTCCTGAAACATCCAACTGGCCTATTCGACCGACACAAGCTTGCCGTTGCCGATGACGAGGAGGAAGGAATAACAAGCAAGCCGGAACTACCGGATCACAGCAATACCCCGCGGAAGCGGAAACATGCTAGAACTGTGGATATAGACGAGAGCACCGACGAGCCGGATCTCGTCACGCCGAAAAGGCGCAAGTCCACGCCCCCCGGTCTGGGTTTTCTCTCGCCGCAGGGCATCCTCATGACGCCTCCGCCAGCCTGGAGCCGGTCTCCTCGGGCTTCGCCATTTCCGGTGGTAGAAACGGATAATGCTCACGCGAGCACGGACGGCGCAGAAGCAGGGAAGAAGAAGAGGGTGTCTTTGTTCGGAGGGGCGTGTCCTGATTGACATCATATCAAACATGACTGCTGTACTTAGATGACTGTAAATGATATCAATTATACCCTGATTCTCACATACAAACATATAGCGAATAGCGTAGCTACCGCATATTTTGATTCCTTATCCATTCATCCTTCATGGATCTAAGAACCTGACTGCGATAAGGGAAAAAAAACAACCACACCCCTCCGATCAGATAAGACTGCCCCACCCACCTCAGCCCCACCATTCCTATATCACATCACGTCTTCTCAGTTCTCACCTTCATCATTCCTTTCCCAATTCCCCCCCAACACCCCATCCCAAGATGCCGCCGCCGCCTCCTCAAAAACAACAAAAAACAACCATAATCGCCATCTCCGGCCCCTCCAGCAGCGGCAAAACGACCCTCGCCCGACTCCTCCAACGCATCTTCTCCAAACTAACCCCGCAATCAAACACAAATCCCAATCTCCGAACATTCATCGTCCACGAAGACGACTTCTACCATCCAGATGACAAGTGCGATTGCCCTCTATCTTCTAACCCCCTACATTCCAATCTATGACTAATATGAATAAAAATCAATAGAATCCCCCTAATCCCCCACCCCCGCAACCCCACCACCTCGATCCAAAACTGGGACACGCTTTCCGCACTCGACATCCCATTCCTCAGCGCCGCATTATCCTACATCCATTCGCACGGACACTTGCCTCCGCGCCTACGGTCAAAGGAGGATTTGAATGATGTGGCGGAGTCCGGGGTATCAGAGGAGGTTGTGTCTCGGATGAGGGAGGTGGTTAGGGAGCGGGTTCCTGGGTACTTTCTTGATACTAAGGTCAATTCTACTTCTGAGGATGGGGATGGGGATGGTGTCAGGACTATCGTCTTCTTGGAGGGGTTTCTGCTTTTCGCACCACCCAGGGGGGAAGATCCGGACCATGGGTTGAGGGATATGCAGGAGAAGATGGATGTGAGGTTGTTTTTGCCGGCGAGGTATGATAATGTTAAGGAGAGGAGGGAGGGGAGGAGTGGGTATGTGACTATTGGGCCGGCGCCGGTGCAACAGCAGGGTGGTGAGGGTGAGAGTAGTGGGAGTACGGAGTTGCCGCAGAGAGGGTCGGTGGAGGTGGATTTGGAGAAGGATGATAGGCCGCCGCAGAATTTCTGGACGGATCCGCCGGGGTATGTTGATGATATTGTGTGGCCTAATTATGTGCAGGATCATGCGTGGTTGTTGTTGCCGGAGAGGGACGAAGGGTCGACGGAGTGGAGGAATGCGGACACGCAGGAGCTGGTCAAGCTGGTGGGACAGGGAGTGAATCTGAGAATGGATGCGGGTGTAACGGTGGCTCCTGGACAGGGAGAGGCGTCTATGACGGACATTCTCGAGTGGGCGGTCGAGGAAGTACTCAAACACATTGCGGAAACAGAAGGACAATGAGAACCTGGTTCATCTGTAGTACCTAACTACACAGAGTACCTCCCCGAAGCCACTCCCTTGCCTCTATCATGAATCCCCAGTTGATTCCACGTAACAACCTCAGCGACCTCCTCCAGGGTTCCATAACCGCCCGGAAGGGCTACAAACCCTGACCCAGGACCACCGGCGAGAACTTCCTCTGCCATTTTTTGTTTTCGCTCGTGCATGCTGTCCACGATGGTGATTCTCCCGTATTCGCCCTCGGCTGGTGAAGACCCTGGGGCAAGCATTCGCTCGGGTTGTTTCCCATCCTCCTGGGCCTTGCTTTCGGCCTGGCGGCTGACTGTCTATTCCTCTTTTCCATCTTTCCTATTATGCGACAGTCTCGCCGTGAATCTCGCTTTCCACTGGGCCCCGCCATCCAAGCCAGTAATCAATCCTATCCCGAAAAGTCAACTCATGTTCAGATTGCGGTGACTCAGGGCTTTGCGGTGCAGCTGGTGCCGACCTCGTAGACTCGTGGCCCACTTTCGTGGTCTCAGCAACCATTGTTACCTCTTCGTTTGCCTCCACAGAAATACTGACTCCTGGCGTTGGATCATCTTTGGAATTGCCTTCCCATGACATATCGGGCTGACCGATGTAGCTTGGCCAACGTACTGTCGTCGGTTGACTCATGTTAAGGCTTTCCGCAGCCAAATCGGCAACAGTGGGTGTTGCCTTAGTTGGCGAAGCCACAGCATCAATGATGGTATTATTCAGCCAGAACGCTAGAATGGTCCCCAGAACATAGATAGCGCATATGAAGACGAGTCTCATCTTTTGTATAATTATATCTGATGTTGGAATGCTCTCATTTGTGCAACCATCCAATGGCTGTTTGTCCTCACCAGGTAGGTCCGCGACAACAGCAACGGCACTTTTATCAGCAGGCTTCTTCGAGCCATCAATTCCCGGTTCCTCCATTTCGTAGCCACGAGAACGCTCAATACGTGAGACTGATACAGCCTCCACTTTTTCGAATGTTCGTCGGAGGTGATGTCTAACACGGTCACTCGGGCTGGTAAACCCCGGATAAATTCGTGGGAGCCAATTGATTGCTTGGTGTTGAGGAAGCCGAACTGTCCAGTTCACACAGAACAGTTCAAGATCTCGGGGAGAGCAAATAATCTGCAGGTAAGCAGAGCCAATACCGACGTTCTCCCTTGCTGGAATATGGATCATCTTTAGACCGCTTTCTTGAGCATCAAGGTTACTGCGGTAAACACTATCTGGACCCCCGTCGACAGAGAGAATGAGACAGCATGTTTCGGCCCAAAAGCAACGGTTGTGCAGCCTGACAGAGCAGACGGCGTGGTATGTTGCCTGCAATTCTGGCGGACTTTCAGCTCTGGCAGAGGCCACTGCATATTCGGCTCTGATCTCCTGGTGCACCGTAAAGTCCTTGACAACTCCGTAAAATGTCCGGTCGCACCTTCGCAACGGGATCACAAGGTCACCCGCATAGCTGAACTCACCCAGGAAGCAATTTTCCACGACCTTATGTCTCTGTAAGTTCGTGGTGCGGAACTCGAGACCATGTTCCTCTGGCATGAGAAAGAGAAGGTACCCAAACTCGCCAGTTACCAACTTAGGTAGGCCTTGGATTACTAAATCATTCCATCCGCTCTGCTTTCTTTGCCGCAGGGACACGGATACGGTAACAATAAACTTGTAGTGTCCTGGCTGAAGTTTGGAAGGATTCTTGATTATTAAAGTACCACTGTCAATAGTCAAAACTGGTTCGCAGTGTACATTCGAGCGTGACTCGTCATCGATTTGTGTGGAGGTTCCCTTTTCGTCCGTAGTCTTTTCATGAGAAGGTTGCGAAATGGTGAGCTTTGGAAGTCGTCGAGGCTCTGTAATTTCCTTCGGTTCGCTATCAGCTACCATAAGTACCTCCCTGGGGCTGGAATTGGATAGTGGCGCTTCTTTCACAGCTGGAACGGACAGTGATGAGCCCGCACTTGAACGTTTCCTGGAGGGGCCTTTGCGCACTTTGCCGGATGCTTTTACGGTACCTTCATGTGAAGGCTCAGGTAACCATGTAATTTTATCAATCGAAGAGAAGTCTGCATTGACTTCACCGAAGTTGGACCGCCCCATCACTGACTGTTCAAGAATACGATCTGGTTCTTTGCCCGTGTCTGGATGCGCTAGTGATGAGTCGAGAGTAGCACAGGCATCACAGGCTCCCAGCTGCATGTCACTTGCTGTTCCCTTGATATCAAAAGCACTGGCTATACCCTTAGGGTGCATACTGCTGGAAGAAATTTCTTGTGTTATGTGGTCACTTTGGGCCCCGCTGGGCGGATCATTGTGCCTTTCCTTCGCAACAAACAGGGAGTTGGAAACTGGGTGTCTATCGTGGTCTGCCCAGCCCTCAAGTATTTCCCTTTTAGGTTCCGGTTTTGCAGGACTGATGCTGGTAATATGATCCTTCCGCGTAGCTTTCCTACTATGATCCTCCATATCCGAGCCCGGCGGAGAGTCCGTCAGGCCTGCGGCAGCAGCACTTCTTTTCCCCAGACTATGCTGCTTGATAGCATCAATAATCCTAGTATACTCATCGCTAATATCGGATACAGATGACGTATGAGCCGAAGGATGACCCAGCTGATCGATTCCTATATGGCAATTAGAGTGATCACCAGCAGTCCCATCAACTGAGGATACTAAATCTCGAGCCGAATTCTCGGTATTTGCGCGAACATGCCCCTCAGAAAGCTCTGAACCAGATATCGGAGAATGTGCTGGGTAAGAGTCTGTTGTTGTAGAAGAAAAGGCGAACAAAGGACTGGAAGGGGAGCTCGAGCTTGACCAAGTACCATCACTATACTGGTCAGGCTGAAGCCGAACCAACTGTGTATTGACGATAGAAACTCCGGCAGATCTGACATTCAAGATGGACAGCTGGGTGTTGGGGATACAATGGGCCTAAGTTCGACGAAGGGGAATTTTCTCGATGAGCAATGGACAAAGTACAGTCATAGGGATGTATTCAGCTCACCACCATAGAGATTCTGCAGTTGACGGGCTCATCTAGGCTGCCGCTCCAGGTACTTCGAATATCCAGGTTGGAGACTTCCGGAGAGGCATGGGGCGGAGATACTGGACGGATTTCGTCTTCGTAAGAAGCCATGATCAGAAGAGTGATTGGTTTGACGATGCGTTGAGGTAAAAATATCAGAGCAGACTCGGGTGGACGACAACACAGCTGCGTGTAAGCAGAATAATTGTAAGAGCAGAATGGGAGCAAGACTGAATGAGTGAATGCTAGCAACTGTGGAGTGAAGAGTGAAGGCGACGATTCAACGAGGGGAAGAAGCCGGTTGATTCGCGCTCCAGTTGGGAAGCTCCCCCAAAAAGGAAGGCAACACCCGGCCTATCCTCAGGCAGCCCAGCCCACCTTTAGTCTGCGAATATAACTTCTGTGCTGGAAGGAATAACTCCAGCTGAATTGCTCTGGGATTATTCATTTTAATAATAACGAGAAGTGGCAGCATAACCATTAAGCTACCCATCTCAAGTCAAATTCTGTCAAGTTAATATGTACATCGAAGTCAAACCGTCCAGCCATCATCCCGTCATCACTCGATCCAAAGCCGTAACCATAACATAATAACGGGGAATAGAAATAACAATCAAACACCTGTAGTATGGTTATCCCATTTTGAATCCCCGAGGCGCCATTTATCCCCAGAGCCCGATTCTTGTTCCCAGTAAAAGCAAAACACCCGTCCAACTGTCTATCCAAGGAGGTAAAAGCAAAGAGAGAGAGAAAGAACAACCAGAGCAAAATCGACCATCGATCAAGACCACGAGCAACCGAGCCATAGTAGCCTAAGCACTCCGAAACCACTTATCGCGGGGTCCCATTCGCTGAAGCAGGTTGCTCAAAGGACGCCTGGCCAGGCGTAGAACCGTACCTGTCCACTTCATTGGTAGCAATAGGTTGTGAAGGAAGGATCGGCGTCGCTGCTTGAGAAGACTGATCGAAATAGCCTCGTGCCGCTGCACCGTTGGTTCCTTGAGCAAAATTTCGATTCCGTTGTTGCAAAGGAGGAAGGATTGTGGACCCAGTCTGGTATTGCGAACGAGGGTAGCTTTGTGGCATCATTGCTCCCGTCGAGTCCGCTGTCTATCCAGAATAATACACGGTTCTTAGCTTCTCGTCCTTAACGACGGGTAGTAGGCGGAGTCCATACAGGAGTACCAGGCGCGTTGACCATTCCTAAGGACTGCATCGTGGCCTGCTGGCTGGATCGACCGTGTGCCCCAGGGTCTTGCATCTGGGGTACCTGAGTGGAGGACGGAATTCCGTAAGACATCTGCCATATTGTTAGTGTCCTGCTTAAAACCCCCGGCCCTGGAAACGACGCTTTGTGGGGACGCTGCCGTTCTCTCAAACCGGTCTCTTAAACAACGAATCGGGCAGACGAACCGCATAATCTGGAACCGCCGTGTGCCCGGCAGGGTAGCCTTGCATCATAGGAGTTGCGTAGCCGCCTGGCTGATTGTAGATCGCCGTTTGAGGGTACGTATCCATCTGACGCATCCGCCCATCCGTGTCATACATTCCCCGGGTCCCAAGATCTATAGATGACATTCGCGGCCGCTTACTGGGGTGTGTCTGCTGTCCATAGTACCCGTAGTCCCGACTCGTCGTCGGGTAAGCGCTGAACGCGTTGCTTGGCATTTGGATCGAAGAACGATCCGGCGAGCGCGGAATCGGCTGCGGATACTCCTCTGGCCGGGGGACAGGTCGTTTGCTGTCTCACTGGTCAATCATACAAAACCACTTCTCGCAGGTTTCCCAGCCACTAGGCTACTTCACTCACATTAATGTTCGTGGCTCCTTTCTAATTCTCAACTTCACACCTTGGTCCGCGAAAGATCTGGACAAGAACGTCGACTCTGCCATGCCCGGAAAACTTTTCGGCGGGTACACTGTACGGGGTCAGGAGCTGCATTCTCATGAACAGGGTTCGCGGGGAAGTGAACGAACCGGTAAATCTATCTGTGATGATTGACTTCAAATGGGTTACGACGTCCCTTTAACCGCCGCAAAATCAGCATGCGCTTCACACAGGCTGTGGAGAGGCTTGTTGGGAGCTACCGCGAAGCCAAAAGGAAAACCTACTTTCGCATTTCGAAGAGAGTGAACTTGAGCCGAAAATCTCCCTCGATCTTTACTGACAAGTCCCCCCAAACGAAGAATCCGCCATCTGATCCAGATCCAGTCAGTAAGCCGATTTGAGGCCTGTTTTCAGGCTCACTCGAGGACCCAGCTTACCAGTATTATCCACATCTTTCAACCTGTGGAGAGACGAAACCAGTGTGCCGGTCAGAGCGGTAGACGGGGCCACGGGAACCGGATTGTCCTCTGACGCATCATACAAGCTGCAACACATAAAATAATAAGGGCTCTGCAAGTAATGCCTATCGAAATTTGTCAGTGGGCTGATTTGACCAACACAGCACAAAATTCAAGCGCGAACACTTACTGCGCGAGATAGGTCCCCTCCTCTCTCACTCGAATCTGCACAATCGGCGGTGGATCTACTGGCTTGCGCTCTGCAGCGGGGAAACAGTTCCCAAGTCAACTTCTGCTCGTCCGTTGGGGGTGCTTTTTCAAAAGAAAGAAGAACGGAAGAGACTGGCAAAGCGGGCGATTCCACATACCTTTCTCCTTCCCACCCGCCACGCGCGCCCGGTTGGGCTGCTGGCGAACGATCAGGTCAAAGTCGGAGCTGGTAATCATAGTCAGTTGGAAGCCCTGGGTAGCTGAGTAAGAGTTGAAGTTGTTTTAACGAGGTCCAGCAAACTGGGGAGGACAAACCTCTGAGAATCGCGGGCAAGGGAAGCGTCCGGAAACGTCGACGCACTCATCAAGGCGAGCTCTCAAGGATCGAACCTAAGCAAATACGGGAGCCAAAGGATCCAAGTCGGATATCCGCAAGAACGGACAGCTGTGAACCACGTCTGAACAACAGAAGGTGGCCAGGGGAAAAGTGAGATATGATGAAGAAACAAAGAATGAACCGATGGGTTAACAGCAGGAAAGAAGAGTTCGGGTCTCTGGAACCTAGCAGCCAGCGACTTGTGGTTCGACGAAGCACTAGAAGAGAGAATGATACACGGTGGGGGTGAAAGAGGGGAGTTGGGGTTGGTTAAAGATGGGACACAACGGTATGATTGACTAGTTAGTCAGTCCGTAGCAGCTGGAGCTGGACCTTCGACCCAACTTCCGGAGTGGAGAATCCGTAGGAAAACACCGTCTGGGCTGCCACTTGCGTCGGGACGCTGGGAAAGATGGCCGAAATTGCAGTAGCACCGTCAAGTAGTTTTCAAGCTGCAATGAGGCGAATGCGGTACGAAAACGGCGCCGAGAAGGAAGAAAAAGATGGATGGTGTCGTCAGAATGCAAGCGGCAAGAGCCAGCCGAGCACGGTTCCAGACAAACCTTAACCAGCCAATTCGACCCAAGTGGATTGCTAAGTAAGTTGCTTTGCTTTCTTTTCCACTTCTTCTTCACTTTTGACTGGACTGCCTTTTTCTTTTGACTCTTATAGGGGAGGAGAGCTTCTTGAGTTTGCGGCTGCTGTTGTTGTTGCTTGCTGTTGCTGCGGCTCCGATTCGAGAAATAATGTAGTAGTAGAAGTAGTAGTAGAAGGGTGTTCGTCACTTTTCTTTATTTTCCTCTTTTGCTTTTTTTTTTCCCCTTCCCTTCTCACTCTCTTTTTTTTTTTCTCCGATTAAACTCTTTTGGTTTTCTCTTTTTTTTACCTTCCTTTTTTTTTTCTCCCCTCCCTTTATGTGTTGTTGGGTCTTGTTCTTCTTCGCTTGTTTTTGCTTGTTATTCAAGGATTCCCTTCTTCTTTAAAAATATTTTCCTTTTTGTTCTTTCGAGGCCTTTTTCAGTAATAGATTTTTTTTTACCCTTGGAGGGATATTATTCACGTGAGGAAGAGACGTCGTGGGTGCCTGGCCAATCTAGTTCTTTGGGCTCCTTCACCTGAAGAAAATTCCGGGAATTCAAATGGTGCTGTGCTGCGACCGTGGTGTCTGTCTGGGTCATTCAATGGACGCCCGGGTCTAGACGTCACAGATCGCGCGGCTGAGTAGAGAAGGAAAAGAAAAAAAAAAATATTAAGGAAAAATCACAGACCAACTCGAGCGGAAAACAAAATAATTTTCGCGCCCCTCCTTCGAAACAAATTTTGCCCAAAAGTCAAATGAATAATAATAGTAGCAGCAGGCAAGCAAATAGTAGTTTGAAGCGAGCGAGCACTAGGTGTGGCGGGATTGAACACCGCCCAGCGATCAGACGGTAGCTGAACGATGGGTCAACAAAGTCGCCTCTGACAGGTCTCTGACGCACAAAACTCCACGAAAATATATGCGTGGTGCCCGAGGGTGTGTCAAAATTAGGAAGTCTAGGGTAAAAATTTACTGGAAATCAAGAGGACAGCCAGCTGAAGGGTGAACCAGACAAATGGCCTAGTGGAGCTGTACCGGAAATCGCAGAGCAACGCCGGCCACTGTTCGGCCGTCGAATGGTATCGTTCCCAGTCACTTCAACCACGGTTGGGCATGCGGGCTAGGGTGTTGTATCAGCCTTGACGATCCGACAGGAACCGCAGCGACATGGAGATGATGCGCACATTGGCAAGTCCCGAGAAGGAAAAATGCGAGGGAGGGGAAATGACAAAAAGTTCGCATCCAAACTGCGGCCACCTGCGCAAGACTCAAAGTCTACCTCCCTCCTTTCTAGGCTGGATCGCCTGAGAACCAACAACAGACCACTGGTTCGAGTTAGGCACGAAATCCACCGCGTTTGCGGCAAGCCACTACCCCGTTCCCCGAGCAATTCCCCAACCCACACGCGCAACGGCGTGGTCTCGTGCGCGTGGAGATGGAGCCGGCTATGCAAGTGATCAGACCCGTATCTAGGCGCCACGCAGGGTCTCCAGCTCTTGTTTTGGCGCCAGTGAAGTTGTTTGATGCTGGTCGGTGCGCGCGTCTAAAGTCTCCAGTCAGACTCGTACTGTATCGTCGTTCCTTCAGCACTACTACTGAGGAAGAAGCCAGTTATCTCTGCGCTGGTTTGAGAAGAGCGACGCACATCCGTAGATAGATAGGCCCTTTAGTCCGTCGCCCTTTTTCAGTTGTTGGCTCCTACTTATCCGCCTATCAAAGTTTCTCTGCGTTTCGGCCGAGGAGTCAGCATCTCAAGCAGTAACATCATCCCTCTTCATCACCTCATTCCCCTCCACACCACCACCACCGGCTACCATGATCAATAACGACACAGCATCACAAGGACACGACGAACCATTGACTGACCTCTTATGTCATCCACTTAAGAACCGTGTTTCTAGACAAAGGAAAGATCCAAGGTCGAGAAGACGGCAGGAGGGGTTCAGGGCCCCAAGGCCCACTCAATATCCTTTGAGCCCTTTGTTGGACTTCGAGCTGATCCGTCAATCAAAATTAACTTTGTTCAAGCAATTATACTGAGGCTTTTGGAGGCTGCCTACCTATTCTGTACCCGTTCTTTAGTCGCGTGTTCTTGCTTGGGTTTGTTCGGGGAGGGCACACAGGCTTGTCTATTGAACCGCAAAGATGATGAAGAGAGGGGTATGAAAGGAACAGAGTTGGGGCGGTAGTTTCAAGGCGAAGCGGTTTGGCCGAGAAGAACGGCGACGAGGAGTTGCTGCTTTTGCTGCTGCTGCCAACCCCGGTCTGTGTCACGAGGGCCCATCCCCTGTCTGTTCGTTCTTCCCCTCGACAGCAAAGGCTGCAGCCAATTCCCCAAATTCCAAATCCCTTTGCTCGGGGATTTATTCTCTTCGACCTTCGGTTGTTTCACTCTGGACTGACTTTGTACGACAACGGGATTGACCACCCCTTATCTTGATATCTCTCACCCCGCGATGTTCACAATATGGGGATGCCCTCAGCGACGACGACGCAAGTGAAAGGAAGCCTGACGATCGTGGACAACCACCACCACTCTGGTCGGAAAACGGAAAAAAAGAAAAGAAGGAATATGAAAGAGAGAGACAGAGAAATAAATATGAAATCGATCACAATGAGAATAGTCAAACCAAAGGTGGTGGGAGTGGGCCTCTTTTCAACGTGCAGGCGTGGGGAAAAAGGTCGGGCTCGAAAGTCAACCTTTTAGCTTCTGCTGCTGCTTCTGCTGCTGCTGCTGCTGCTGCATTCCTGGGACCTAGCCCGAGAGATGCATCACATTGCCTGGAATTTGACACGCAGGTCGCAGAGCTTGCGTCCCACTCATACATTCATACTGTTGTGCTGGAAGGTTGATTCGATCTCGGGGAACGGGGCGCTCGCCCCTCAGCAAAGCCGGGCCGCCAGAGATCGGATCGCTGGGCTGATGCGGCGTCGAGAAAGTAAGCATGCATGAGTCGTTTCTGAAAAAGAGGGATCGTCGAGAGCAATTCTTCCCTCTCACTTGCCTGAGCGAGATTCAGCAATGAAGAGCTAACCTTACTTTAATAGTGTTGACCATCTGGTTGGACTACGCAGCCTCTCCATGCATAATCTGAGGGTCCCTGGTTCACGCTGTGTAAAAGCGCGGCTGAGAATTACGCTTCCTTGTTTCCTCCGTACAGCGCCTGTTCCCCCTTGGATTTTCCATCTGATTTTTGGCCCTTTTTTTTCTCTTTCCCGACTTTCCATTTGCCCTTCCCCTTGTACCCTTTCTATTTTCGGGAGTTCCTGGGGGAACCTCTCACTATTCCCCTCAGATGCGTTGCATTGCGTACGGATCCTGGATCTTATTAGGTGGTAGTGGCAGCTTCATCTAGCCGCATCAACTGCAAAGCTACTGGTTCCAGGAGCCCGCAATCGCGATTCTCGCCATTTGCCAAGTGTCAAGCACAACTGGACGATCGACTTTGCCAGAGAGGCTGTATTTCTTCGTTCAGCGCAGCGACGCGCCCAACTATCATCGCTAAGAGATTGGCATCACCTCAGACAGAAGTCCGGGGTTCATCAAGAAAATTATCACGTAGAAAGGATCAGCAGAAAGCATGCGTCCGATGATTGGCAATCCCTATGCAAGGGTGGCATAGACCAATGCCTAAGTTTGTAAGGATATGGATGGGCAGGACGTCCAGGATAGCGGAGCTTTGGACATGATACCTGCAAGTCAGGAACGAAATCCATCCCCGACGGAAAAAAATATACCAGCGGAGGAAGGTCGATAAGGATTTTGAACGAGTGATGCGACTTATTTTGTCCGCCGCACGGCTCAATCAAGCCATCCGGTGGACGACGGAGGTAAGCAGAGATGGGAGGGGAAAGAAGAGAGGGGTGAGAAAAGAAAAAAGAAAAAAACAAGTACGGAGTATAATGGGGCAGCAAAATGGCGAGTAAAACCAAGGAAGACCAGCTCTAGTCCATTCATCACTTTGTGGATGGGTACGGAGCACACACTTACACTCACACAAACACACACTGGGCCTGATCGACGCCATAGACAGAGAGACCTGTCAGCAAGTCTCCGGACGCGATGCTACCATGGGGCCTTTCAGTCAAGGAAATTTCCTACACCACAAGTGTACCGATAATGCCACGTTTTGATGGCATGGTGTACGAGTTTACCGAGTCATGACAACAAAACAATGAAGCTTTGGGATGGACATTGTTTTTGCTTGATGGATGCTGAATGGGCAAATAGACACAGACGCACACAGACACACAGATACACACGCACACCGAACAGGCAGTGGAAAGCCCACTGTGGGTTCTCAGTTTGAAGGAATAAAATCCCTACCGCCATGACCCATTAAGGGAGGTGAAAATTACCACAAAAAGACAGCAGCGAAAGAGATCAGGAGAGGGAAAAAATTACTGATAAAATCAGGGTGGGTAAAGAATCGCAAAACGATTAGAAAAGAGAGTTAAAGAGAAAAAAAAAAAAAAAAAAAAAAAGAAAATCGAAAAAAAGAGAGCCAAAATCACCAACACTAGGGAACTAATTTTTTTTTCGCACTTTTTCCCCCCTCCTTTTCTTGTCTCTCGACAATCGAACAGTTGACCCTCTCTCCCCTTTCGACCATTTACATATCCGGTGGGGACACCGACCAAATGCACGATGAAGTGTTCGGCGGACCCAAGCGGTTGCCTTTCTGTCCAGACTCCAGCTAGCACGGGGAGCGAAACCTTTCCTGGTTATTGTTGACAGCGGTCCGCCGAGCATCCCCAGTCTGAACCAGACTTTCATCAACGCTTAGACTACGCTACAGTTATGCTTATTCGGGGTCTGGGGGCGGTTCCGAATTTCAAGAAGATCTGACCCAGGGTATGTTCCTTGGAGGCTAGAACTTCCTGGGTTCGCTCGTTGCCGGTTCTTCAGGAGCTCCAGGGGGCAGCCGAGCCCCGCCCGTCCCTGTTTTTGATTGATGAATTAAGTACTACTCCGTACTGGAACAAGAATTCCTGATCGTGGTTCGACCGGGGTTCAGACCACAAAATAGTCCTTCGTCCATTGCATCGTCCGCACCGGAAGGTGCACAAAAGAAAATTTAATCCTTCGCTAATCGCGAGTAATAATTATCGACGCCTCAGCTGGTCCGACTAAGGAGAGCCCGGACAGGGATTCGGGCCTATCGAAGACCCCGAAAAGACCCCGGGAAGCCTTTATCGAAGCGATCAGAAAGCATCAGGAGGAAAGGCCGGGTGATTTGTAAAAAGAAAGCTAGATGATAGCACGAAGTACGGCGACGGGAAGGAGGGGATGGTCCGGAGAGAAAGATTCCTGACTAACTGACAGATCATCTTCAGAATCCGAGAGGTCAGACAGGCTAAGACGCCTCTCATCCGCTAATTGATTCGATGACGGGCTCGCCATTATTTTCGATTAATTGACTTATCGTTGCTCCAGGATCAGATATGGTGACTTCATTGCCCTTCTTTCGGCCGGAGCATTAGAGTCGATATCCTTCTGCTTCCTCCTGAAAGGGATGAAAATAGCCCCAGAGCAATCCATCACCATTCACCGCCAACCCAGCCCAAATCGAACGTCATCACGCATCGCAGACACAAACCCTCCACAAAATAGCTATTGTCATGATTGGGGCATGTGAAATTCCAAATTCTCCATCAGACATGCAGTCAAGATCGCAGGATGCAAAACAGCCCCTCCACCGCACCACACGGGGGAGGGGGCTCGTACCTAGCGGACGCTATCACCACCATGGATGCAGCCCAGACGTACTGTACATGCCAGCCGCCTCGCCACATCAGCACAGGACTAAGTACGATGTGCAGGAAGTCCGGAGCTGCTCGGCACATGAGCCACACCTCGGTTCATTCTGGCTGGGGACTGATAAAAGTCCTATCCGTCGAGTTGCTTCGTGGTCCCACTCAGCAACGCGATGACCTGTAACCTCCTACCAACCGATCAGGAGAGAAACGAACGGGCTCGACTCTACAGTCACGGTATTTAGAATTTTCTCCAACTGCAACTCGTCCTCATAAATCCGTCCATTGCGCCCCTCGCAGCGCTGTGAGTACCGTGTACTCCGGCCTGGTAAGTAGATCAATAAACCACTATCCCCAAACGGGATTTCCTCGTCGGAAAAGGATTCCAAAATCCGATCTCAAAGCCACATTCCTTCTTGCTGTTGAGTTTACCGCCACCGCCCGAGAGGGGCGTTTGTAGAGAGTCAATCTCGCCAAGTTTCAAGCCTTCAGCCACCGGGAAGAGGAATTTTTCTTTTATTCAGACGGAGACGAGTATTCCGTATACTGGGCACTTTTACAGGATGATAGATACTCCGTAGTAGAAGGGCAGTTTTAACTACTAGGTAGCTACCTAGGCAAGGGCTATACATACCCTTCCTAAGCCAAAAAAGAAAGGAAAACACAAAGAAACGCATGCAGGGAAGGTACTCTCCTCACCAGGGAAATAAATAATAATTAAATAAAATAAGATAATAGTTATAATAAGAAAAAAAAATACACACGAAAAAGTCAAGAAACAATACTCCCTATCTAGAAAAGTAAATGCAAAGTAAACTTTCCACTGCACCGACTCCTCCTAAGATACTGTAAGTACCTCTGGATGAATTCCTGGAAACCGACTCTCACGCAACCTTTCAGTACCCACTCTTTTTCTCCTCCCTCATCCTCCTCCCTCATCCTCTCCAAATCCAACCTGCAAGTTGTCTGCAAGAACCACCTGGCCAAACTCTAAGTTGCCTTGCAACTTTCTCCTACCTTCTCTTTTTATTTTATTCGATTTATACTATATAAGGTATTTTCTTTTTCTTGCCTTTTTTTATTGTATACCCTCTCGGTCTATCTCCGAAAAAATAATATAACAAGTAAAATAGAAAATAGAAAATAAAAAATAAAAATAAAAACGGTTTCTCATGTCTCATTGGAGGAATTAGTCTTGCTTGATTTGGTACTTCTACTACTACCACCTCACTGTGTACAGTGTACACCTTCTGTACTTTACCCTCTTCTACCCTATCTAAGTATAGTATGGAGTACTACCATCCAACCGCTTGCAATATCCCATTTCCAAATGTACAGTAGTACTAACATAGTAAGTAGCATTTTGTAAGTGCATTTGCTTACGGCATACGACAAGGTAGTAGGAATCTTATCCACCTACCTACCGAAAGCGGAACAACAGGCCCCCCATTCGGGCAACATCGCTGTTTCAGCCACATTCCGGGGCAAACACAGCGCAGCGCCCCCATATTACTTACTACTTACTAATTCCGATGGCGGTGTGTGTGGCGCTGCAAGCAAGTTATTTGCTTACTTAGTTCTATGTAGTATCTATTTAGTAAGAATGTGGCTAGTTAGTTAGAGATTGAGTTTTCTGAAGGAATCGGAGGGATCGGATCGGGATCTCGCATTCTTTTTCCAATTCTTGGGTAGGTTTTCTTTGCCTTGCTGGGTATGTACGTTGGGAGGGAAAGTATATTCGTTTGGGTTGTATGTTATTTTTCTCATTTATTGATTCTTGTGGTAGTGATAGTGGTAGATTGGATGTTTATGTTGTGGTTAATCAAAAGTAATGTTATTCGTCTTGGATGGATTTGTCATGTCTACTTGAGAGCTTAGTGTTTTGTAATTGCAGGTAAATAGGTAAATAGGTAGGTAGCGACAATCATGATTTGGTCTGGGATCGAATCTCATCCTCGGTGGGAGAAAAGCTACGTTACAAAAGTAGGGCTGAATGAGAAACGCACAAAATGAAGCAATAGGCAAGGACGTCCAAGTTTAATGAAATCAAACTCTCACATGAAATGGAGCAGTAGTGGGCGAATGGTAATGTAGAAAGGGGGAGAAATGGAAGGTCTCACAGGATCCGAAACAAACAGCCCTGGAAACCGATGGTGTAGTAGGCAATGTACTGTAGTGTGCATCGAAGGAAGAGACGAACCCAAAAACTCCGGATGACCCCGTCACTCCTTGCTTAGTACAATGTGCAGAGAGAACAAATAGACGTGTAGAGGCAGAAAGAGACAAAGCCAAGTAGGTGAAGTCATGAAGTGTATCCCCGTAAGCAAAGTCAAAGCCAGACTTGAGAGTCAAGAAACAAAAACACCCCACGCCCAACATCAGTAACTCGCAAAGAACGCCCCGGGAAATGCCTCGTGAATAGTAAAATCTTTTGGAAATGCATTCGAAACCTCCAGACCCTAGACAATGTCGCAGGATCAGGTCTCCATCACAGCGTCTCCGTCCGCGTCGGTACCGTTGCGCTCGGCTTTGTCTGCAACGCCGTTCTCGTGCGCCGATAGAGCGGTGTCCTCGGCAGGCACCATAAGCTCAAGCTTCTCCACGTAGGACTTGCGGCTAACCGACTTGGTGAGCTTGGGCTTCCCCTCCACACCCTTGCCTTTGGAAGGGGTCACAGGCTCGACATTAGTCGTCTCGGCTGCTTCATTCTCCGGATCCGTAGTGCCATTGGACGTGGGCAGCTCGTCCTCACCGACAGCTGGATTGGCGCTCAATTCGGGTTCGGTGGACACATGGGTCTGAGACGTCGTATCTGGCCCATCTGCCGGTGTATTCTCCATATCATCATACGGCTCGTTCTCAATGCCATCCGGCTCTGCGCTCGTAGAATCCACCGCAGGGGAGTCAATCAGTTTCGCGCTACGGCCGCGCCGAACACTAGCTGGATTTGCGGAAGGAGTCACGGACGTCAAAACGGATGCTCGTCTGGGAGTATTGCGGCCACTGGTCCGAACGGCAACTGGTGTCCCGCCCATCTTGGCGGATTTGCTGCCGAACGGTCGGCCAGGACGCTTCTTATGGGATGGTGCTTGCACTGGAGGATAGATCTCAAATCTCCAGGCAGGGACGTCTCCAGCAGGATTGGACTCGGCCGGTGTGCTCGAGGTCGCCGACGCCGTATTCGGATGACGGAAGCCGTTCACATTAGAGAGCATATCAGTAGAAGGAGGTCCAGCTGGCTCAGTCGGAAGCTGTTCGGAGTCGACGTCGCCAGTCCCATTCGTGGTCGGAGGACCAGAGCCATCCTCCTTAGACTCGCCAACATCTGTTGGAGACTGTCGCTCTTCTTCGTTTCCAGACTCCTTCACATCCTCGCTTTCTTCATCCTCCAGGCCCTCCCGGGGTGCCACGGCGTGTAACGGGGCGCGATCAAACTGGGATTGGTTGCTCCGACCCATGATGTAAGGTGTCCATACGAGCGCGTCGGGGTTAAGCTGGACATATCCTTTGCTTTCCCAGCTGGCGATGCACTCCTCAAAATATCGATAGTCAAGCCGCAAGGCGTAAGTCTTTGTCACCGGGTCTCTGACAAGCGCCCGCAAAGCTTCCAGACCGGACACGATGTCATCTGCGGTCATACCGGTCCGCTCAGATAGTTCGGTAATACTAAGCGGCGTCCTTTGACTCCGCAACTGGTAAGATAGAATGAGACGCCAGTAATTCCTATAAGAAACCAACCCCATATCAGATAGAGGCTTCTCCGGCGAGCCCGTCTTGCCTTCAATGCGCGTGAGCAAGTACGAGAAGTCGATGAGGAGGTTTCCATAACCTTTCCGTTGGTGAATAGGGAGTGTGAGAATGCAAGAGACATTATTAGCCGAGCTAGGCCGCTTCTCTTTGCTGAAGTAGCCAACAAAATGGCAGCCCAAGTCATCGAACTCCGTCATGACATAGAATAGAAACGGCTCAACATCATAATAGAGTGTCTTCGAACCCAGGAACAACTTGGCGAGCAGGCAGAGATTCTGACAGTAAACGGGGTTTTTTCGTCCGTCAACTTCGAAGATCGATATGGACCCTTCACGGTAAATCTCATCGCCCGGAGGGTGTTTCGCCGGGCATTTAAGCTTGTGGCGCCACGCGACATAGTCTGAGTTCATGTATTTCAAGCAAAATTCGCAAATGTATAGAATGCGATTGCGACTGTACTCCTCCGGGTATGGTGCAGCGTACCAAGTCTCAATCTCGTAGCCGCCAAAGTTGATGTATTTGATTCTAGAGGGGGGACCGGACACCTTCTGCGACGCATGCTGTACAGTTTCCCCTGTACTCTCAGCTTCTAGAGCTCGTCTTTGCCACTCTTCCTCCGCTCTTTGGCGGGCCTTTTCGAACCTTTCGCGGTCGAGGTGTGTTGGAAGTGTCTTGGAGGTATCCGCATCCGCTTCAGTCAGAATGCCCCCGTACGGCTTGCCCTTTAGCTCATCGGTCTCACGGTCGCTGAATGAATAGAATGGGGTATAATATGAGGCGGGTGTAATCGGTGCAAAGTGAGCCTGAGGCTCGTGAGTGACGGGTGGTGGCTTTGGGGTCCTTCTGCTTCTCATCTGTGACCTGCTGCGAGAATTGAGAATCTTAGACAGCTTAGACTCGTTGACGCGAAACGCCATCACAAGACGCTCAAATTGCTTCAACACCACGCGACAGTGCTCCTGCTCGTTCCTACGCGTACGTCGCGAACGAGTCCGTACCGGGGACATGCCATCAGCTGTCTCAGCCATCTGTTCACGAGAGTCCGCACGATCATAGCGCAGCGGTGTCTGGCGTTGCCGTTTGCGAAGGACCGGCGCATGTTCCTCAATCTCGGCAGAAAGAGACATGGTCTTTCTCTTTCGCAGCGACCGAGAGCTATTCAATAGTTCTTCGTTGACAGTGACTGTGTTGAAAATTGAATGGAAATCGGAGCCGTCTTCACCGGTATGAGCCGGCAGGAGCTCCTTGCGCATGTTTTTCTGTCTGTTTTCCCGTTGCGGCGCCGCGCCATCTTCCGCACTAGGCTTCAACTTCTCGCGCACGCACGTCGGGCACCTCCACGGGTTGGCATCTAGACGAGTCAGCACAATGACACTCTCGGACATTGTAGGGGCAATCTATTTCAAAAAGCAACATACCTTCTGCATCGCCTAGTGCGTTTTGCTCGCGGGCACACTGCCGATGCGCTGCCGGGTTGCCGAGTCAGTAATGATCGCCCAATATCCGGGGAAATTATAGTTTGGATGGGGCCGCAACCCAACGTACAATGATCGCCGCAGACTGCGCATGTCAAATATTCCTCAAACTCCTCACTCGGATCATTATCTTCATCTTGCCCACAAAATCTGTCCAACCAGTTAGCCGGGTTTCCATGGGTATATTGTCGAACAAGGCATGGGCCAGGTCCCCACTCACATGCAGTTTCCGCGGACCGTAGTCTCCGCCTCCGCATCTTCGTGGTCATTGCTTTCGCCCTCCCACTCCTCATCCGACTCCTGACTGCTCGATGAAGAACGGTGCGCCTCCTGGTCGCTGTCACTCTGATTTTCGAACGCCGGATCTGCCTCCGCATCAGCGGCCTCCGACGCTGCATCATCGTCGTCGGCAGACTGGCCATTCTGAGGCACCTTGACTGCGCCAACCGGCTCGGTATCGTTCTGATCTCCGACCAGACTCATCTCATTATCCGGCTCCCCTTCTGCGTCCTGATCCTCCCCAAGGTCTCCAGTCGCAGTATCGTCCGCAGCCTCCCCGGTGAAAGCGCGGTGCGCGGCGTCCTGAAGCTGCTGATCCATCTGATACAGGTCCGTTTCCTCCTCCCCTTCCGCATCCTGGTCACTGTCCACCATATCGGCCGGGGTCTTCGACCCGGGGTCCTCGTTGGCTAGCGGTACGATAGCCGGCATAGTATATGTCACGGTGGTCGCCAGGGCTGTCACAATAGTCGCCAGATAATTATTCGGGGATTTGAGATACAAGGCAAGCCCAGGTGTTGAGGCTATTCAGGCTCCCCGCGAAAGTAGACGATCATCTGGTGCCGCGCGTGAAACGGGCATCGGGAAGCATAGAACGAATTGCCAGGGGCGCCACAGCTCTGAAGACCACGCACTGTAAACGGAGATCTGCACAAGATAGAAAGCTCGATTCCCTACAGCAAGCGCATGCTTTCCCAGCAAGGTCAGTGAGGAGTAGGTAGCAACAGCGGGAAGCGGACAATGGCAAGCAACACGTGTAGCGACAGGGCGGAAAACGTACCGTGCCCACAAACAGAGCAGACACTCCGGATCAAGCAGAAGTAGACGCGTGTAACAGCCAGGGAAACGCCGTCTCAAGTCCACTTGCGCAATCAACGCAATCGTCGGCGGCCTCTTTGCCCCTTCTCCTGCCCGTGAGGTTGACGGCCGTGCTGACTCAGCCGTCCCGCCTAAACCGCTTTGGGCCAACCTCCAGACCTCGTCGACGAACGGCGGATTCCCGCGGCCACACCAGCTTCACCTTTCCCCTCGCTGCTACTCCAATTGAGCCTTGTGCATTGCTCTTTTCCGGTCTTCTCGACTTCTATCGTCATCATGGGTGTTCCCTTTGAGGCTCTTCTTCCCTTTGGTATCATCATCGGAGTACGTCCAGCGACCGTTTCCTCCCCTCAATTGTTTTCGACTTGGCGGGTACTGACCAATGCGTGACACAGTCGTTCACTGTCGGCGGTGCCGGCTTGTGGGCGGTTCGGAAATGGGACAACGAGGGCAAGATGCCGCGGTGGAACAAGGACAAGTGGGATAGAGTAAGTGAACCTGCCAGTAACCCGATGCGACCGGGATCAGACGTACTAACTCTTTTACAGCAAAGTATGTGATAACCTCGAATTGACGTCGTGCAACATGCAATTTGCGATCCCCTATTTCCAATCTTGAAGCAGAAGTAGCGAACTAACCACCGACCCCCCCCCGCCTACCAGTGATGGAGAGAGACCTGAGAATCACGGGCACGAAACGAGGCCAATCGAGCAACCACGAAGCTCCCAAGGGATTCGAGCTCAGCAACCCCTGGAAGGTACGAACCAGCACCATCAGCAGCAGTGAGCGAAGCAAAATACTAAGCTGTGGCAGATCGAGAAACGGATTTTCTAGACAGCATGGGTTGTCACACGTCATGTCATTATTCCCGCCTGTTCCTTATTTATTCGGCCGCATTACTTTCGAGAGAAATATCCACGCAATGAAAGATTGTTTGTATCATATTATAAAAAAAATATCTGGCCGGCTGGGTACACTGCCAGGTAGAATTTGTCTAAGCCTTTGTTTTATATCTATTTGATCTCAGATACAAAACCGCGGATAGCCTCGACTTCATAATCGCGGAGGTGCATATCAAACCACTTTTCCAGGGCTTTGACGCGATCTGCGTCCCTTTCCAGCGTCTCTACTACCTCCGTCTCTCCAAACTGTCTCTTTTTCACCTCCCGCCCAACGAGAAAATGCATCCCCTGCACTTCACTCTCCGCCTCATCCATGATGAACCTCGTACAAACCAGCGACTGCGTGAACCAGCTGGTGGGCCGCTGACTCGTCGCATAATTCATGATCTCGAAATCCTGCGGCAGAAACTCCGTCCCCAGGAACGAGTACATGGGAATCCACCTGCTATCAGGCGTATACCTGATCTGATAGATCCAGACCTTTTGCGTCTGGTCCGCATACTCAGGCAGGGGCTCATGAACGAGACGCATCTCCGTCGGAGCCATGCAGACCGAAACGACATTCTCTTTCAGCGGCAGGGGGCGGGTAGGCCCATTACCCCCGAAACCGACGTCAACCTGCACAGCCATTAGCTTGTAGTCACCAAGATACTTGGATACTAGGATAAGCATACCGCATACTTTTCCCCCTCAATCAGCACAATCAGCACCATATGCGACCTATACCATCATTAGTATATCTATACCACCATCCCCATAGAAAATACTCCTAGTACAGATAAGAAATAGAAATGACTCACATCCCCGAATACAACTTGTCCAACCCCTCCTTCGCCTGCCCCGTCGCAGCCAAACACACCCTCCCACCCGTCGCATAAACCGCATACCCTAGAGACTTCAACACCCCATACAGCAGGGTATTGTTCTCCATGCAGTAGCCATCCAGCCTACGCGTGATTAACTTCCCATAAACACACGCAGGTCGGATATCAATGGTCCGGTGGTTGGAATAATGCAGGGCTGAATTTCCCCAGGGAATGGATGCTAAATGCCGCCGTTGGATCTCGTATAGGGTACCCAGGGGATCAGTTTTCACGGCTTGTTGTGCTTGTTGTAATCTGCTGGTGGCGGATTCATTGGAGCCGTAGTGGATTTGCTCGAGGTAGAAGGTGAGTTGGTCGGGGGTGTAGGAGTAGGAGGTATTTGAGGCCATTTTGGATGTTTGTATACTGAGAACTAGTATGTATGTATGAATGATGATAATTTTAGGAAGTGGGATAGTAAATATGAACGTGGCCACGTTAGATTAGCTGTCATAAAATTCTACGGAGATCCGCCGGCATTTTGCGGATGAAGAGGGGGGGAGTTTTCAGTATACTACTACTAATACTAAGCAAGTTACTTATTGATAACTATCTCATTGGATGGGAACTGACTCGATTGGGTCCGAGGGTTCAATCAATCGGGACCCCCCACATTTACTATCCATGTGGCGGTGACATTTGTCAGGGACGATCCGGGAGGGAGATAGATGGATGGCACATTGTATCTATACTATCGTATTTATTAGGGAGTAATTGTTGTCGGATGAATGGGGAATAGAGAATAGAGGAGCGGAGTTTGGTAGACGGGATGCATGTAGATCCGATCGGTCGAATGGATAGAAAGTATTATCTATCTTGTGTGACTATTAAAAACATCTGTTTCCGACACATGATGTCAATGCAATTGATCCTCGGTTATGCAGGAAGGATTCTTTGCAGCTTATCTGATCGATTTCAACTAACTACTATTCTTATACCCCTCCATATATCAATCTACTACCTCATACTCCGCATAAGTAGCAACTCAGTATCTATCTACACACTTCAATTCAATCCAATAATCATGTCAACCCTCGAAGAAAAGATCTCCCTCTTATACAACTACTCCGCCTGTGATGTACATCCATCCCTCCCATCCCCTCACCATCACCCACTTACCCATCAAAAACATCTATCCAACTAATAAATAATAACATCAGGTCTCCGACGCCCTCCTCAAACTCCAACCCGTCCCACCAAACACCCCACCCCGAGCAGGCTACATCGCAGACCTAAGTACACCTACTACCCCATCCTCCCTACCCATCACCTACATACTAACATCAAACCAGCACCCTACTACCCACCCTCCAACACCCAGCCAACAACACCCCCCAAACTAATCGCCCCAGCCAGCACCCTCCAATTCATCCCCAAATCCACCCCTACCCCCACAACTCCTAAGGCAATCCCCCCCTCAACGCACTGGTCCGACCTAACCACACCCTCCACCATCCTCGTAATCTCCCAACCGGGCGACCAGCAATGCGCCGTCGTCGGGGGCATCATGGCCCTGCGGATGAAAGTCCGGGGTGTGCTCGGCGTGGTAGTGGACGGGAGAGTGCGCGATCGCGCGGAGCTCAAGGCCTCTGGGCTGGGGATCTGGGCGAGGGGAGGGTCGACGGTGGGGAGTGGGGCGGAGGCGAAGGCGGGGGAGATGGGTGGGGAGGTTTGTGTTTCGGGGGTGACTGTACGAGAGGTAAGAAATCTTTTGTGTCACTGGGGTTTGGGGTTTAATGGTGTTTGTTTGGCTAATGGTGGATGGATGTGCAGGGAGACATCATCTTCTGCGATTACGAGGAAGGAGGAGTGGTGGCTATACCTCGGGAGTTGCTGGATCGGGTGCTCGAGGTGATGCCGAAGTTGGTGGGTATGGATGATAAGGTTAAGGAGGCGGTGGAGGGGGGGATGAGTGTTTTTGAGGCGTTTGGGAGGTTTAGGGGGAAGATTTAGGTCAATCCCTCTACTCTACTGTATAGTTAGTGGGGTGGGATGGTTGGTAGAGTCAATTTGGATACAGTATGGTTGGTATAGTGGTGTGAAGACCAGCTTGAAGTATAACGAGAATTAGATACAAATCGCTAGGAGACACAACAAAATCATCAATCTAAGTAAGTTACACACAGCCTTTTTTTAATTACTCCGCAACCCAAACGGCCGCCATACCCATACCTGTGCCCACGCACATGCTGCTAACGCCAATCTTCTTGTTCGTCCGCTTCAGCTCCGTCAGCAGCGTGCTGATCTGGCGCGAACCCGTGCAGCCGAGTGGGTGACCAAAGGCAATTGCACCACCCTTGGGGTTGATCTTCTCCTGCGGCAGACCCAGCTCGTTGATGCACCAGACGCACTGCGAGGCGAATGCCTCGTTGATCTCGTAAATGTCCACGTCGTCCTTGGTGATGTCGGCCTTCTCCAGGGCCACGGGGATGGCCTTCCACGGGCCGATGCCCATGAGCAGGGGCTTGACACCGACGACGCTAGCAGCGACGTACTTGCCGATGATCTTCTGTCCCAGGCGCTCGGCCGTGGAGCGCTTCATCAGCAGCACGGCGGCAGCACCGTCGGAGATCTGGGAGGCGTTTCCGGCGTGGATGGATCCGTCCTTGGCGAATGCGGGTCGGATCTTGCCCAGCGACTCGGGGGTGATGCCGTCGCGGATGCCGTCGTCGGCCTTGACGGTGATGGTCTTCTCCTCGCCGGACTTGGGGTCCGTCCACTTGACTTCCAGAGGAATGATCTCCTCGTTGAAGAGACCGGCTTTCTGGGCCTTGACGGCCTTCTGGTATGAGGCGGCGGCGAAAGAGTCCTGGGCTGCACGGGTGACGTTGCGGTCCTTGGCCATCTGCTCGGACAGAACACCCATGGGGACCTTGCAGTTGGCAGACTCGGGGTGAGCCTCAAGAAGCTCGGAGAACTCGGTCACGGCACCGGGGCTGATGCTCGTTAGCTTACATATTCACAAAGGGGTGACGGGGGCGGAGCTTACCCGTATTGAGACGACATGCTCTCGACACCAGCACCAATACCAACATCAATCATGCCCGATTTCACGGCATTGGCAATATCCACGATCGCCTGAAGACCGCTAGAGCACTGACGGTTCAAACTCTTGACAGCAGTAGACTCGGGGAAGCCCGCAACCAGGGCGGCAGCACGGAATTCCGTCGCACCACCACCAGGGGCAAGGACGGATCCGACAGCGATGTCGTTGACCTGGCTGGGGTCGATGCCACTGCGGTCGATGACCCCCTTGAAGACACCGGCCAAGAGATCGGCGGCAGCAGTGTCCTTGAAACCACCTTTTCCACCCTTTGTAAGAGCCGTACGCAGAGCGCAGGTCACGACGATATCATCGGGGTGCTTCTCCGTGATGGCGGCGACTCCCTTCTTGCCACCAGGGCCGAAGTGGGAAGCCACCTGAGACAGACGTTGTTGGGCTAGTAACGCATGGCCGTTAGTTTAAAACCCTTTTTGAGACTGATAAAGGCTACTGTAGACTTACCGGAAGACATGATGACGTCAACGGGAGACTTGAATATAAAGAAATGAGATGCGCTAGTGGTATCTCCAAGGGAAAAGAAAAAGAGGTTTTGAAGAGACTGAAAATACGAAGAACTGAACCCTTGGTCTTATAAGAATCTGGGGCAACGTGGAGAAAGCCCAGTCACTTGCAATCAAACCGGCTGGGCTGCTCAGCTCTGCTTCAATGAACCGAGGCTTGTGCGCATCATTGTTGTTCCGCGGAGGCGGGTCACGGGATGTCGGTCCACGAGACAGCGGTTTCATGTGAAAAAGCAATGCACTAGAATGGCTGCTGGGTAATGGGTTGCATGTGCTGCTATTTAGGGGGGTATGCGTAGTGGTACGTCATGCGATCAGCAGGACCAAAGATGAAGATAGATATTACCTATGGTCTGGTGGTTGTCGTGTAGTGATTAGTGATCTTCATGCACACTAGTGTCACATGCCTATGCAATTGCTTTGTTTATAAATATATATCAAGTTTTACCCCGTCCTTACGTTCCCAACAATGACCTCTACTACACTATAGTATGCAATGTAACAAACGAATAGAAGAGACTGCCGATTAAATACCACCTACATAGAAAATCCCACCACGTAGTAGTAAATAGTAATAAACCATTCAAACAATGAAAGTCCACCACACGAACCAATCACCACCGAGCGGAACCCAACCTACGCCATCAGGCTAGTCTCTCCGCGGGCGGAATCCCACCCGCCCGGCGACAACTTTTCCTCCGCAATTCAAGATCATCCTCGACCTTCTATATCATCATCAGCCTCAACCCACCCCAGCCTCACACCGGCAATGACCTCCTCCCTCCTCTTCCCGCGGCGCCTCGCCGCGCTCACACTATCAAAGCCCCTATTCCCAACACCACAAGCAGCAGCAGCAGTAGCAGCTACCCGCACCCTCCCATCATACCTTCACCACAACCAAATACAACAGGTACGCCTGCCTCCAATCAACCAAGCAACCATCCAAAATATAACATAATCTAACAACCAAACCCCAAAACAGCAGCAGACCCGCCCCCTATCCCAAACCCCCCATACCCTCTCCTCCCCCTTCCGCCTCAGCACCAACAACAACCCGAACACATACGACCCCGAAGAAGGCGAATACTACAGTCCCTACAAACCGAAACGGCAGTGGCCACCGGACATGTCGAAGCTCTCCCCGAAGCATCAGTTCCGGCTAGAACGGAAGTATCGTCGTCGGGCGGCGCTGAAATACGCTCGGCCGAAGTGGGTTAAGGCGACGAAGATTACGCAGTGGGTTGTTATTGGGTGTATGTCCATCTATTCCCCGTCTGTATTGATTTGCCTTGGCGATGGCGGCAAATAATACGTGTGACGTGAAATTTGCGAGGTTTGGGGAAGGCTAACGTTTATGATGATGGAATTTAGTTGTTCTGGTGTATGCGTTGCTGTTTATGGAGTGGGATGAGCGTGGGAGTCCGTTTGATGAGGTGAGTAATCTATATTTTATTTGTTGGATATGGTGGAGGCAATTTGTTGACTGTGGCTAGATTCGACGGACCTTCTTTGCGGGTCTCAAGGGTGCTTTTTCGACGCCGCCGCCTCCTCGTCCTGTGAAGAGGTCGGAGGATGAGTCGGGTGCGCAATAATCAGGTCAAGCCAGGTGCTGGAGGTTTACAGCGGTATTTCATTAGACTAGACCACTCCATTCAATCTACACTGTATAGTATCCTATCCTGTACAACTATCTTATGATTGGAATATAATGACAGCGAAGCTTAAGCCGCTCATGTTGACAACAGTAGAACTAAGCATAATCCACATCGGTCATGTCGTGCCTGCTATAACGCATCTGTCCAAGAAAAAGAATGATCGGCCTGACATGCAATCAAAGAACGTCAATATCGTCAGGTCTGTGGCCCTATGCCGTCATGAGTCGTTTCGCCGTGGCCGTCAAGTGACGGTGAGATGCACCCAAAACACCGCAGAAATGCCAACGCCGTCCAATCCCGATTCTCCAAAGTCACAATGATGAATAACAAACAGATCAGGTAACAACAACAAGTCAAAAACAGTAAAAGCCGTCATAATGCCGTGTCAACGTCGCCATCCAAGTAGAGACGTGACCGGTCTGCGCAGCCATAGACTCACGTCTAAAGCCAATTCCCAAGGCCACTGTTGCCTTGGGCCCCGCCACGGCTAGCAGGGACATCCAGCGCAAGTTCCAGCTTGGGAGGCTGTTCGTCCAAGACACCCTTTCTGGGGCTTCCAGCTGCTGCCTTGATAGGGGACTTGCTCGGCGACCCAGGCTCCGGTCGGGGAGGGCCTTCGCGGACAGAAGTGTATGGCCACCCGTCATCTACAGCTGCAGCAACCCATGTCTTCAGGCAATCGTGCACGGAGGAATAAAACTTCTCCTTGCATGTTCGCAAACTGCCGCCCATGACCTTCTCGAATCCCGAAGCTCGGAACTCATCTCGGAGCTGGTTACGTTCTTCACTCGTTGGCAACGACGCCACCAGGCCATTCATGAGGTCCAGGTGCGCAGCCAGGTAGTTAGTCGCATCCCATTCCACGCCACCAACATACGGAGCGGCGGGAACTGGAGGCCTCGGGGCAGGGAAATGACGCTCCCGGTAGCTCATGCACGACTTGTCGTCTTTCAAGATCGGGATCACGTTGAGATGATGCAGGAAGATCCAGAAAACTTCCTTGGTCACATTGGTAACCTCCTTGCACCAGACTCGGTAGGGGCGTGACTGATATATGTTCGCGATAAAGCTCAGAGGCTGACTCTCCTCCGGGGGGGACGGGTCGCGCAGGTAGGATAAGATGCGTGAAGCCCGACTGGCTGCCATCTCGTCGGACGATACAGCAGAGAGCTGAGTAAACAGGAGATTGATGATGATTCCACGTGTTGTGTACTCGCTTGGGCCCTTCTTCTCTTCGTCAAAGAGCATTCTCAGCAATGCGGGGAACAGTTCGCCCTCGATGTTGGTGAGATGTTGCAGAGCGATGGACGTCGTGCAAAGAGCTTTCAAGCATAACAAGGTTTCGTGAAGCAAGGTATCTTCATGCTCTTCCCTATTCAAGTTATGAGCCCCCGGTTTACCAATCAGCGAATACGTTAAACTCACCTCCATTCAACCTTCATGATCCGGTAGAGCAGTTGCACCACCTCATCCATCCCACCGTCCGCAATGAACGTATCAACCCAGCTGACGGTTTCATTCCGGAGGAGGATGCGAAGCTTGTGCATCTTCCCAACCTCAACCATTTCTGGCTTCTGAATTTCTCTCAGATAATGCACAAAGTCGGACGGATCAGCTGCAGTATCACAAGCTGTGGCAGAAAGTGAGGTAGTGGAAGCTGACGGGGTACCGAGCCTGGAGAATCCTGTGGGCTGCGAATAGTCGGCCGACTTTGGACGCCTATAGAAACTTCCGCTATCCGGGCGCTTCTTGGGCGAAGAGCTGCCTTTGGAGAATGAGAAGCCGCGACTGCGGGATCGCGAGCGAGATCCTTTGCTGTCTTGGCCATGGCGGTCCTCCTTTGGCTCCTTCTTGCGCCCGCGACGACCGGTACTATCTGTACCACTAGCACCAGCGCTATGCGGCGTAGCATTTTCAGCTCGATCCTTCATGATGAAATCTGCCTTTATGTTGGTGTCCAAAGACCTCATCTTGTCTCGCATATTATGAGGTATATTTCTAGCATCCTGTCTCATTATTAGTCTAGGCTCTTGATGCCAAAAACAAGGCTAGTTCAGGATGTACTAACCAGTAGCTTTTCAAACTCGCTCTCAAGCTCCTTGCCGGTCAACCGTTTCTGCAGTTCAGCCTCCTGCTCTTTTGCATTGAATGCTGAGATTGCCGCTTGGACGCGAGAGAGTCGTTTCGGGCTTGCCTCGGGTCTGGATTCTACTGGGGGATGGTATTCCGGGCGTGAGAGTGCTCTGGGCCTCCCATGTTTCTTGGGCGAGGCGGGTTCTGGTTGGTTACCCGAAGCCAGCTGGTTCGCCGTCATGCCATCTATAGGATCCATTAATTCTTTCACCTTGCGATTGCCCGCGAGGTAGTCCGATTTTGGGCGTGGCTTGGGATCCCCGCGTGCTCTGAGAGAGGGTCCATCGTAGTCATAGAAGTTTCGCTGAAGAGTGGGACCATACTCCCTAGGGGTGTAGAGGGAAACCTCTTCCTGTAAAGTCCTACGCTTGTGCTGGGAACTGGAAACCTCAGGCTGGTTGTAGTACGGCGGTGTTGGGTAGTGGCCCCACATTGGAGAGGGCATGCTATCGACAGGGTCCGATGGGCTGCGGTTTTCTTTGTCCCGGGCGCTTTTCGAGTTTTCTCCTTTTCTTCCGCGTTGGGATCGTTTCAGGATAGCCGTGAGACTGTTGGCCGACTTTGCTTTCTTCGGCTTCAAATTCGCTGCTTCGTCATCTGGCGTCTCATCCGACTTGTCCTTGCGTTCCATATAGCTCTTGAGAGATTTCAGTGAGACGGCGCTTTTTGTTTTTTTGTGTAGAGTGTGTTTCCCTTGCTTTCCAGGTGATCTCTGGGTTGAACTAACGTCTGCTGAATCCCGGTTCGGGGCTATTTCTGCCAGTGGCTGTTCCGCAGGGTGGTAAGGTCCATCGACTGGGGGCGCATATGGGCTGCCACTAGGCTGGCCTGTTTCAACGACCCTCGGGGCGAGGACATCATCTGCAGATGAAGTCCGTTTGTGGGCCTTGGATGACCAGATAGCTCGCAGGACGGATGGTTTGGTAGGTCCACGGGAGGAATCGTCAAAGATGCTCGGGGGTTGTATGCTGGGAGCCATGTCTTATCGCCTTTGGCCCGAAACTGATTAGGAAGCCACAGGCTGTGTTAGCAGATGAGAACAGCCATCACAGGATGAAGGTTATGGAACGGGTAGGCGCAGGCGACTCACGGTGAAAGGGTGCTCCCGCGTAAAGATAGATCGAACACCAGCGAAGGATACGAACGTAGCGGAAAATTCTATGCAAAGCAGGATAACAAGGACGTGCAAGAGTAAAATACCGACGACATTGATGAATGTCAATTAGGAGAAGGAAATGAGGTCAGACAAAAAAAAAAGTGTAACAAGGTAACTAAGGAAGAGAAGAGAAGACACCGGTGCGAAGGAACAGGAGACACAGCAGCAACAGCAAACACCAGAGAGTCAACCTCAGGTGGGTAGACCGGGAATTTGAAGCCCTTCAAAGGTCTAAGACGGGCAGGAGCCGTAAGCATTCCCCCACTGCATAGCCTAGTCTGCCAACGCCGTTGCCAAACGGCTGGAGATGGGTGCACCGCAGTGAAGCGGAGGGTGTAAACACTGTGCGGGCAGGGAGGTTGCTGGGGGCAACCGCGCCTCCGGTCGCGCCGGACAGTGCATCACCCCGTCATGATCGTCTATCTATCAATCGGGCAGTTAATTGATCGGGCAATCATATCACTTCCATCATCCTCCGTGTCCAGCCCGTCCAGAAAGCATATCCGATCACCCGTCATAGTGAGCTGGGGCCCGTCGCGATGGAAATTGGGGTCGATGTCATAGTGGAGGAATAGCCGGCATGGAACCGGCTATTGAATGGACCATCACAATCTGCTTGGGTCGGAGTGGGTGAGAGGTCATATATAATGTCATTGGATAACCAGGAATATGGACAGAGTAGTATATTTGCTCAAATATAATGCTTCATCATTGTGATCAGTAATAGTTGGTGTGGGTTTCTGTTCCTCTTCTTTTCCTCAAAGTCGTATCCACTGTTGGATATCAACACGATGGGCTCTTGATCTGATCTGTTGGCATGCCAAATCGGGACTAGTCCGGCGCATGATGTAGTTACTTCCAGTCTAGACTACTACCACTATGCTTTCTCTCTATATAATTACGCTCTGCTTCTCAGCAGTATTTGCTTGACTAACAACTTATTGCTCTTCCTGCTTTTGCATCCCCACGCTAATCATTATGGAAGCCTCTACTGCTCTGGCCGATATCAAAAGATGTGAACAACAGGCAAGGGGTGAACATTGCCCCTATATCTTACTCGATTTAGGAAATAGAAGACGACCTCCTCACTGCTCTAGGTAGCCATTTACTGGTCTGTCACAGATTTTTGGGAGTTTAGACCGTTTCTCGAGTCTAAGATCAGCAACATGAGGAAAGGGGTATCGCTCGGAAGATCTGAAACAATTTGTGCGACTTGCGATAGCTGAAAAGCAACCTCTTGGAGTAAATCAACAATTCCCATCTCACAATGAATTAGGTTCGAATCAAGTGATTAGTCCCATACGGGAAAATGACCAGGATATCCAAGAAGACATCTGAAGTCTGTGAGACGTGTAGGACACACGATGTTACTGACCATTTGCTTGATGCTACACAATGTCTACAGGACTCTCGATCCGAGTCGTCTGATAGCCATTTAAACTTCCAAGCACTGACAGACGGTCTTGTGCTATTTTTAGAGATTTCTTGCTCAGGTTAATCTACAGCAGGGATCAATATCTAGAAGCTCTTGAAGGATGCCCTAAGTATTGCTGGGAGACCTGTGTGGGCAGTCAACTTTGATATACCAGTATCTAGAGGATCAAAGTTGAACGCAGATTGAATATTTGACTTCATTGGCCACAAGGGCTATATCAGTTGACTAGCACAATGAACACAAACATCCAGCATGAACTGTCTTCGCTTTAGACCTATCAATACAACAGCCAGT